ACTGAATAGACTTAGCACACACATAAACAAATAAATGCCTGGGTGAGGAACGCTTTCTCTGATTCTTCTGCCCAGTTTGAGAACTTGAGATTCTGGGAGAAGAAAAAGGAACTTAGTGAGCTCTGACCTAACCATACTCTTAAGATGACATTCACCACTGTGCCCCAAGGCATGTTCTGGATTTCTATGAAAGAAGGATGCCCTGATATTTACAAGAAAGCAATGAACACTTTGCTACAAATTTCAACTTCTTATACCTGTGAGCAAGAAAAACCTCATTTCAGCTAAAAATGAAATCCATGTTTGCTTCTCTCTTGAGTTCAACTCAGAATTGAGTATTTGTACAGCAAAAACCATGCACAGGTTTCACACTGAAGAGGTAAATTTCATTATTTTTAGCTTCAAAAATAAACAGGTTTTATGCATGATTAAATCTAAGAGCTAAAGAAACACATTCATGAAAATTTTGAAACTAAGTCTATATTTGAGTTTAATCATGTCATTCAGTAAGAAAGTTTGTTTTTTTTTAAATCTTCAAAATTTTGCCTTAGTCTGTTCATATTTCTTGGGCTTATGATTTTGATAGCTTTATATTCATACTGGCAAATTTTCAGGCCATATTAAACAGGCTGTACATTTACATCCTTGATATAAAATCTACCAAACCTACCTTTCAAACCTAAAGGAAATCAGTCCTGAATATTCATTGGAAGGACTGATGCTGAAACTCCAATGTTTTGACCACCTGATGTGACGAACTGACTCATTTGAAAAGACCCTGATGCTGGGAAAGATTGAAGGCGGGAGGAGAAGGGGACGACAGAGGATGAGATGGTTGGATGGCATCACCGACTTGATGGACATGAGTTTCAGCAAGCTCTGGGAACTGGTGATGGACAGGGAAGCCTGGCCTGCTGCAGTCTGTGGGGTCTCAAAGAGTCAGACATGACTGAGTGAGTGAACTGAAGCCTACCTTTAGAAAAATTAAACCCTATTTTGGCTCAAGTCAATTATTTAACAAAAATTTATGTTTTCCACATGAGTTTTTAAAATTTTGAAAAGGAAAGAGATGAATATTAAAAAGAAAGATAATACCTACCCCCTACTCCCCACCTACCCCAATTAAAGGCTGGTAAAAAAGTCACTTTCCATTTGAAATGGGAAAAAACTATTCTGGGTCACAACATCTACATACCATTCCTTATTCCTCTTTAGCCTCACAGCAGTGTTGGTTAACACAACTGTATACATTTATCAACAAGCATAAACCTGCACACTAAAAAGAGTGAATTCTGTATATATAAATGGAATCTCAAATCTCATAAATTTGACTTTTTAAACAAGTCACAAGAAACTTATAATTCAATAAGTTATATAAAAACAAAGATAATAAATAAAAAGAAAAAAAATCACAACAATTTTTAGAACCATCTTGCCTCCAAAATGCAGACACAGCCTGGGCATCACTGAAATCTTGGATTCTCTCAGTGTAACAAGGAAAAGAATATGTTTCCTGCTCTCCAATTAAGTAAAATGTTAAATGCCACCTTGCTACTTCAATGAAAATTATTTTAAAAATTATTTTTTAATGACACTTATGGCTCAGATGATAAAGAATCTGCCTGCAATGTGGGAGACCCAGGTTCAATCCCTGGGCCAGGAAGATCCCCTGGAGAAGGGAACTGCTACTCACTCTAGTATTCCTGCTTGGAGAATTCCATGGACAGAGGCTACAAGCCATAGGGTCACAAGGAGTCGGACACTACTGGGCAACTAACACATGGGGCCTGAACAATAATGATCCCAAACTAAATAGTTAATTAAACTACATACACTTTTTAAAAAAAGAAATTCAGAGACTAGAAGGATTCAATAAGCTTTCTCTACCTCTAAAATGAATTATCACAATACTATATCAGAATACAAAAATCTATTAAGTTTAGGTTTAACCTTACGTAACCTTCAACTCAGCAATCTGAAACCCATAAAAATCTTGATCTGTCTGTATAGCAAATATGTGGACAACCAAATTAGATAGAAACTTATAGTAGTGGAAGCTTCGGCAATTACAATACATGGGTTGAAAACAGAATGACAACTGTTTAGTTAAGTAAAACATCAAGAAAATTTCTCTCACAATCTCAGCAATTTTGACATTTTCTACATATATAACAAAAGCAAGAAAAATACATCTCTCTTCATAAAGTAAGGTATATTAGGAATAATGCCCTTATACTGAAGACACATTATTAACAGTAATAGCTACCATCTACAGTCATTTTCCCAGTAATCCTATAGTGTAGTATTGTTACCTCCATTGAAAGGTGATGATGATGAGAATAACCACCTCACTAATATTCAGTATATGACAGGGACTGAGCTAAAAGCTTTATATGCAGTACCTTATTTAATCTTCACAGGAACCTTATGAGGTAGGCATGATTATCAACTCATTTTATAAATAAAAGAGAAATTGAAATTCAGACTGGTTTAAGAATAGGTGCAACTGGGACTTCTCTGGTGGTCTATTGTTTAAGGCTCCTCTGTCCCAATGCGGGGTGGGGGTGGGGGGGGGAGGTTTGATCCCTGGTCAGGGAACTAGATTCCATATGCCACAACTAAGAGTTCACATGCCAAAACTAAGAGTTTGCATGCCACAGCTAAAGATCCTGCATGCTGCAACTAAGACCCGACACAGCCAAATAAATAAATAATAAAAATTTTTAAAAAAGAAACAGAATAGGTGCAACTGGTAATGTACTAAGGTTAGACTCAAGCCCAGTGTCTGCTGGTTCAACCTACCTTGCTTCGACCCCATAAAGCCTCCACTCCAAGGGGCATAATAAACACCGGAATATTACTATTATTATTACATTACTTTATTGCACTTTACCAATGTTGCATTTTTTACAAACTGAACATTTGTGGTAACCGTGTGTCAAGCAAGTCTACTGGTGCCATTTTTCTAACAGCATTTGTTCACCTCATGGCTCGGTGTCACATTTTGATAATTCTTGCAATATTTCAAACTTTTTCATTATTTTTATATTTGTTACAGTGACTAGTGACCTGTGATCTCTGATGTTACTATTGTTAATTGCAGATGTAGTGGAAATAACAAGAGAACTAGAAATAAGATGTGGACCCTGAAGATGTGACTGGACTGTTCCAATTTCTTAAAACTTTAATGGATGAGGAATTGCTTTGTATAGATGAACAAAGAAAGTGTTTTCTCAAGATGCAATCTACTCCTGGTAAGGATGCCATGAAGACTATTAAAATGACAACAAAAAATTTAGAATGTTATGCAGAGTTAGTGGATAAACAGTGGCAAGACTTGAGAACTGACTCCAATTTTGAAAGAAGTTCTACGATGGGTGAAATGCTATTACATAGCACTGCATGCTACAGAGAAACTGTGAAAGGAAGAGTCAACCTAGGTGGCAAACTTCACTGCTGTCTTAGTTTAAAAAGTTGCCACAGATGCTCCAACCTTCAGCAACCAGCACCCTGATGTCAGCAGCCATCAACAGAAGACCCTCTAACAGCAAGAAGATTGTGACTAGCTGAAAGCTCAGATGATGGTTAGCATTTTTTAGCAACAAAGTGTTTTTTACAGCACAGGGAACTACAGTCAATACCTTGTAATAACCTATAATGGAAAATAATCTGAAAAATAATATATGTGCATCACCTTGCTGTGCACCTGAAATACTGTAAATCAACTATACTTCAACAAAAAATATAATGAAATACAAAAAAAATTTTTAGACATAATGCTTATCACACACTTAACAGACTACTGTACATGTAACTTTTACATGCGCTGGGAAACCAAAAAATTCGTGTGACTCAACTTTCTTGCAATACTCACTTTATTGCCATCTGGAACTAAACCTGTTACCAAGGTCTGCCTGTACTTTTGTTACTAAGAAAGTTATTAGGATAACATGTAAATTGTATCTAGCTGCATTTTAAAGCTTCTGGAGTCTATTCTAAAATACATCACAATATATCAGCATATTACACTAAAGTGAACTAAATGACCAGAAGTGAAAACTGTGTGCTGTATAAGAACAGAACGGAGTAAAACAGTGATGGGAGAAATAAGAAACTTATCCAGCATGCCTGCTTCGGTTATTGACAGGCAGGGAAGATCAGCTGCAAACAAAAAGCTTCACCATTATTTGCTTTCTTTAAAACAGACGGGAAGACAAAGGCATTTGCTTAGTAGCCATTCTCCCTGGGTCCAGTTTTTAATGACCAAATTTGATAGTGAACCGAAAAAGAGTTAACATAGCAGGTTTGAGACGGTCACTCTTAGAAAGTCCTGACTACAAGGTCAGCCCCTGACTAGCATCTGAGAATCTGGATTTTGGGAGGGTTGCTACTACCCCTGATAAGAATGGTCACTATGCCTATATCCTTTTTATAAACAATATGGTTTATGCTGAATTATCTGCTTTCCTTCTGGGAGTCTGGAATTTTGGTCAGTGCTAGGCAGAAGGTGTCTATGTAACAGCTCTGGGCATAGTCTCTTATGTGCTTCCCACTTCCATAAGGGACATTTCACCTGTGTTGTTAGAATTTGCCACTAGAGGAATCAAGTGCAAGCTGTGTGATTCCACTGGAAGAGGACTCCTGGAAGCTTGCACCTGGTTTCCTCTGGACTTCACTCACACACATTTTCCCTTTGCTGGTTTTGTGCCTCTAATTCTTTTTCTGGGATAAAGCACAGCTGTGAGTACAGCAACATGCTGAGTGAGGCCCCCTAGCGAGCTCAGAACCTGAGGGTGCTCTTTGGGATCCCAACACAGATAGTAAGATAATTCCAGGCTCTACTTATAAAACAGTTACTGCCCATAACATGACCATAAAATTTTGCCTAAAATAGACATGCACCCTGGAGAGGTTTTACTCCCACTAGCAAATACTAAAGTAAGTTCCAAAAACTTTGACTGTGAATTAAGCCATGGATATTTTTAACAACTGATACCTACCGGGAACTCTGGCAGGAAAGGAATCAGGAGACCCTGCTCCAGCACCACCCTCTTCTTCATCTTCTTCAAATTCCAAATTCTCTTCTTCACCAGGTGCTAAAATTCTTCTACATGCCAAAGGACAGAAAAAACAGTGAGCTACAAAACCAAATATATGAGAGAAGCCAAATAGCTACTCATTTCCCAGGTAAAATGTTGATATAAAAAATGCTGACATAAAATGTTAGTATGTTGGATTAATGATATCAATGATAGCAACATTGATATGATACATCCAGAAACATCTGAAAAATAGGTATAAAATGATAAAATAAGAAGACAAATACTGGTGCTAATTTATTTTACCTTAAAGGGACAGGCTGAACATCAAATGGGAATTCTTTATTATATGTAAGAATATTCTTTAGGACTAGAATAAAAAGAGAAAGACACATGAATTATGTCATGAATCAGAATTAAAAAATTTATTGTAAGTGACTGATTTTAGTCAATTTTACCATGCCTATTAATATGTGTGTATACATGTGTGTGTGTGTGTGTGTGTGTGTGTCAATTGCTCAATTGTGTCTGATTCTTTGTGACCCTATGGACCATAGCCCACCGGGCTCCTCTGTCCATGGGAGTTTCCCCAGCAAGAACACTGGAGTGGGCTGAAGAGGATCGTCCAGACCCAGGGATCGAACCCGTGTCTCCTGCACTGCAGGCAGATTCTTTACCGCTCAGCCACTGGGGTGTCTATTAATACTTAAAAAATTCCCAATCTTATCATCCAAAGCCACAATGCACTTGTCCATTGAATATCTTGGCAAAATGAAAATATCCACACTCCAAGCACCAGTAATTTCAGAGTACTGTCAGAACTCCAAGGAAGGTAACTTCCAGAGTCTCAGAGTGCGTATGGGAAATGAACTCCAAAACAGTTCTCTGCACAAAATCCTAGGTGAGACATGGGGCACCGGAGAAAGACAACTCCTCCCTGGAGTACTTTAATTAAAAGATTGGTGTCAAAGATGACCAATGAGAGGGATATGAGCCTATCTTATTCTATGTCTTGATTAGTCTTCCCCTCAACTCCACAAAACTGGTAAAGTTTATAGTAGTGAGGTTATAATTCTCATATACCTTTACCATAGTTTATTATACATATGTAATATATACATACTTATATGTACATATATGCTTACATACAGGCTCTTGCATGCTCAGCTGCATCTGACTCTTTGAGACCCCATGGATATTTTAGCCTGCCAGGCTCCTCTGTTCATGGGATTTTCCAGGTAAGAAAACTGGAGTGGGTTGCCATTTTCTTCTTCATATATATGCATACACAAACACAAAGAGGGATTTATCCTCAAGAGAAGTCTTCAAACAATCTCCTGTATTACAACCTCCTACATTATGGTTGTGGTCAGTGATTATATATCCAGGCAAGGAAACTTAAAAAGAGAGATGCTCTACAATTCTACCTACATTTGGAGAGGTGCTTCATATCTGTTCTTATGGATTGCCAGCATCTACCTGCAGTTATATGAAGGTAAAGTAATGGCATTAATTGTACGATCCAAAATGTTTCTGTGAGTTTATTCTCAACTTATTCATTCTAGTTTTGGAGTCCTGCAGTTTGGAGCTGAAATAGGTATGGATGTTGTTATCCTCAAAAAGGAAATCCCTGAGTACAGGTTGCAATTACATGCCTTATTCTCACAGGAGTCAAATGTGTTTATCATACTTCTAATATATACACTCCTACTAAGCCCTTCAGGGAGAGAAATCTGAGACTTGTGTCTATATTTTCACTCATTCTCATTCTCTCTCTCCTTCCAACTCCTACCCTCCTTCTTCCTCTCTCTTTCTTCTTCTTAACAAATGTGCACTGAGTTCTAAGATACGGCAGTGATCAAGACAGAGGGTTCTCACCCTCATCTGGATCTTAGACCCTAGTCAGGAAAAGCAGACAGTAACAAGCCACAAACTGAACACAATGATGTTAAGACTGTGACTGAAGGACCCAGAGGATGCGTGTGTCAGTGGAGTAGAAGGATTACTTCAGCTGAAGTGAACAGGGTAGGCTGCTTAAACCTGAATTATTAGAAGACGTTTGAGCCATGAATGACCTGGATGAGAAGAAATGTCCACAAGCAGCTCTGGGCAAGGGCTCTCCAAATATTAGAGAACAAGCCAGAGCAACAACAAAGGCTCTGCAGGAGGAGTTTGCTCAAGGAACGGAAAAGACCACAAAGCTGAAGTCTGAGAAGCAAAGGACAAGTGGCAGAAGATCTGAATCAGGTCTTAGCCCTCCCATGATGTTAATGACTTGAGCATTCATGTAACTACTGTGAATCTCGGCTTCCCCAGTTCCAAAATCATATTCTACCTTTCTTCACAGACTGTTGAGAGAATTAAATTAAACAACATAATATATGACATTTCATAGGAACACTTAAAGTACCATTCAAGTAAAAGTCTACATTATTATATGGTAATTTATTCTCTCCATAGTTATTCCTATCTGGCTGACTAGAATCCTATTATTTTAGATCTCACTAAGAAGGACTATTTTTCAAATTTTAAGAATATCACCTCTAAACTTGGTGCTTGACTATTTATTGTGAGTAAACTATTCATTCAACTCAAATATCAAATAATCACACAGCACTGTGCTAGATGCTGAGAATGGGAAATGGGTGACAAGATTATGCATATTTATATCCACAATGACCACATTTTAATAGCAAAAAGGAAAAAGTCAACCCTTAAAATATAAACAAAAGATCAAACAGCTGAAAATCATATTACTTACTAAGAATATCCTGAATTTGTATTATAATAGATGAATTAAACAGTATTTTCTTTTCTTAGGTATTAAAATTTTGAAAAGGAAATGTCTGTTTTGGCATAATAGCCTCTTCTTTATTTTGTATTTACAAGTATAGAGTGTATCAGATATTTAACTTGTATGAATAATTTTGAAAGAAAAATAACAGCACCTTTCTCACTTTCTGTAATTGTAGGATGGGTTTCCATTTTCACCAACTGGGGAATAACAGGGATTCTAATGTCCTTTTAAAATAAGATTCTACATAAACTTAACATAGGATTTTTCTTCTAATATGAATCTTGATATTTTTGGAGGTTGTAGAGAAGAGGAGAAGCTAGTTTATAATTTCATGGAAGGGGTGATCATGAGTGTGGAGTCCACCACAATTGGGGACTAACTGGTTCATTCAGTAGAAATAATGCATACAGGCCCACTGAATGTTGACTTGATGGTATACTCTCTACTGGCGAGAACTCAGCACTCCCAGCCTACTCTCATGGAGCATGGCCTGCCACCCTCTTGAATCTGACATTAAAAATCACACCCCCTCCCAAATGTATTTCTTTTTTTTTTCCTTGTAGCTAATTTTCATTTTTGTGGTAGGAAAAATGAGCAAGTGCTTCCCATCTGAAAGTTTATTTTAAATTATGGGGAACAATTCCCTGTAGACATTTAACTCTATTCAATTTAAAAATTTGCCAAGTTCATACTATAGGCCAAGCATTGACTGAGGCTCTGTGGGGAAAATACAAAGGTTATTCACAATATTCTTGAGAGAAGAAATAAATATTAGTGAGAATAGTACAGGGCAGACTATGATAGTGGCTATAAAAAGTGCTCCTATAAAGAACATGAAACAGAGTCTAATTACTGCTAAGGAGAGAAGAGGACACTTTCAGGGCAAGGTGGGATTTCTTTGAGGCCTTGAAAGTTTAATTAATGGAAGGGAATTTTAGAGTTTATGGGGTGGTAATAGGAGGATATGTTTGAGTAAGAAGTAGTATATTACTAAGGATTAACATAAGAAAATTAAATAACTATTACTTTCAAGATCTTAGCTTTAGTATGAATTTCAGATAGGATTACAAAGAGATTTAAAAAATCTTGAAGGAAAACTACATTAGCAAAATAAACCAACTAAGACCAACAAGTTGAAAGATACAGTCATTTGTTAATTTTCCCTTCCTTACATTATTAGAAGAGGCAGAGGCCAGGTTGACTAAGAACACTTAATCTGAAATATAGTCAAATACCAATTTATTGAAAATGTTTAATTCTGATAAAATAATTAACTCAAAACAAGCACCTAGATTTTATAAATTCAAACTTAATTACAGGGCATAGCCTACTGAGATACAACACACACATTTAAGTTTAAGAGGCAAGAAGGAAATTAAAATCATCTAGAAATACAGTAAGTACCAGGAAGGGAGAAGTCCAAATGAGAAGCTTTATATAAAATCAAAATATAATTAAAAACAAATCCAAATTACACTCTTTCCTCTCTATTCCCACCCCAAGTCGTAAAAACAAACAAATCAGAAAACAAATGTAGATTTCAGTTCCATCTTCCACAAATACATGGGTCAATCATCTCTCAGGAGTTTGACCTGAAGAATCATGATATCAAGGACTGATGTCAATACTGCATTATTACAAGTATTAATAACAGAGTATAATGGTAGAAATGTAGGCTCTGAAATCACTTTGAACTCAACCCAGTTCTAGCATTTACAAGCTGTAAAATCATGGGCAAGTGTCAGCAAAATGTGGTTGAGACTATTTATCTGAGTGTTCGGCACATTCCTGCTACTCTAAAAAATGGTGATCATTATTACCAACAAGAGAGTCTATGAGGCAAGAGGAGGAAAAATCAAGTGTGTCCATGGAAAGAGATAATAAACATCTGATTATAAGTGTTTACAGTCTTTACAGTGAACCTATATATATTTTTTCCCATTTATTTTTTTATTAGTTGGAGGCTAATTACTTTACAATATTGTAGTGGTTTTTGTCATACATTGACATGAATCAGCCATGGATTTCCATGTATTCCCCATCCCGATCTCCCCTCCCACCTCCCTCTCCACCCGATCCCTCTGGGTCTTCCCAGTGCACCAGGCCCGAGCACTTGTCTCATGCATCCAACCTACATGTTTTTAAGTTTTATTTGGAAACAAATAAAAAAGAGATGGAAAACAGTTACTGAATGAGGACCCGAAATCCTAATTATTCTTATCATTTAAAATTGAACATTTCTAATTTTCTTTAGAAACATAATATAACTCAGACATCCTCAATGCAGCTGAAATCTTTTTTTAAAAGAACCTGCCTGCCAATGCAGGAGACACAAGAGATGTGGCTTCGATCCCTGCGTTGGGAAGATTCACTGGAGAAGGAAATGACAACCCACTCCACTATTCTTGCCTGGAAAATTCCATGGACAGAGGAGCCTGGTGGGCTACAGTCCATGGGGGTCACAAAAGAGTCGGACATGACTGAGGGACTGAGCACAAATGTGTTTTTCTTAAAATAATCTGATATACAGGCACTTACAAGGGACCAATTATTGTATGATTCCATTTATATGAAATGTTCAGAATAGGCAAATTTACAGAGACAAAAAGTAGAGCAGTGGCTGCCTCCGGCTGGGAATCAGGGGAGGCTAGAGGGAAAGGAGTGAGTGCTACTAGATACAGGGCTTCTTTATGGGGTGATAAAAATGTCCTAAAATTGACTGTGGTGATATTCAGTACTTGTGCCCTTGCCTATATTTCAAACATTTCCTCTAAGAGAACATTCATTTGAACCAGGAAAAAAGATTCATCTAGCACATCCTAACCACCAAAATATCTGAAGGAATTGTTTACGTAAAAAAAAAAAAACATTTAGGAAGGAAAATGGGGACAATAAGGAAATATTTTATAGAGCAGTTCAAACAGCAGGACTGCAGTTTTCAGTGACATTCATTACAAATAGGCATCAATGACTATAACTTTATACTTTCCAGTAGAATCTACTGTAAATGTTTACTAAAGTAATTTAATTGTAGTCTTATTAAACTGAATAAAACAAAGGCTAAAACAGATAGGTGAGGTACAACATAAGAGTCAAATAATTTTTCACATTCTGCAATGAAGGTGAGAGGGCTTCCCAGGTAGCAGGGGTAATGAATCCACCTGCCAATGCAGGAGATGCAGGTTTGATCCCTCGGTTGGGAAGGTACCCTGGAATAGGAAATGGCAACCCACTCCAGTATTCTTGTGTGGAAAACTCCACGGACAGAGGAATCTAGTAGGTTACAGTCCGTGGGATTGCAAAGAGTCGGACACAGCTGAGCACACAAGATGAACCTGACAATAATTACTAAAAATATTATAGGAATTACAAAAGCATGAAAAATTACATAGGATTAAATAAAAACAGAAAAGACTCAAATTAGCATCTCTGCTAAATAATCTTAATATCCATAATAGTGTAAACATTTTTCTAAAGCAGTATCAATAAAAAATATGAAATAAAGCTTACTTGGTTCTAGCTTCTTCAGATCTTCCAGTTTAAATTCTTCCTGGGACTGTGTGGACTGAATTTAAAATATGCAAATTACATAATTTTAATACAAAGACTTCACTGCACCCTATGTCTTTTATTATGACTGACAAAATATTCAAAAAGTAGCCAAAATAAAAGAATCCATTTCTTGCTTTCAAGGTTAAAAAAGAAAAATTAAAAATTCCAAATTAGTTTTTGTTTTTTTGGAACATTCTGACTAAAAATATTGAAGAAAAAACATGAAGCCATATCTTTTATTTTTATAGTTTATATAACTTGAACTAATAGATCTTTTAATAGGAGTTTAATCCATGAATTCTTATTGTTAAAAAATCCTTTTGAGACTATACTGCTTTTGACACAAATGCCTAACATTTTATCAGAATAATTCATACTAATTCCTTTTCCTTATGTTAAGAAGTTGAGAGGAGGGGAATCTATTTACCTGTAAAGCTGCACTTCGTAATTCCAAGCATGTTGCAATTTTGCCTATGGTTTTCTGTAGGAAAAAGAAAAAGTTATAAATACCAAATACATTATAACTGTGAGTTGCCAAAAATCGAGTTAATTTTTTATTGATAAGCAATCTATGATTTTAAAATTTAGGTTAAATTTTATTTCTTTTTAGCATCTTGCAGACTCTGGAGATGAAAAACAGGAGGCAAAGGGCTGGGAACATGCAGAGAAGGTGAGCATATATTCACTCCTGGTCTAACATGCCACAACCGATTTTAAATCATTTGCTTTGATGATAGCTTTCTGTATGACTTAGAGGGCAATGAAAAGCACTTCAGACATCTTCTCTCCAAGCTTTGCCTTCTCTTCTTCTCCATAAGGTCTGATATTCACGAAAAGACTTAAAATCAAAAATATCTGAAAGTTAGCACCATGGTATAATTTAATGCTGACTCAAGTTCAATCTTAACTTGTTCAATTAAATGTATCAGCAATGATAAGCAAAATCAATACTTGTGATAAATGGTGGCAAACTTTATAGTCAGATCATAGTTACCAAATAGATATAAATGACAGGGCACAGTCCTTGCCTTTAATAAGCTCATGTTTCTATTAAACATGTAAGACACATACAAAATCACTGTAACATAAAACAGAGGAACTTGGTTTACAGGTGTCAGCAAAGTAAGTGCTAATATGCCCTGAAGAAATAGGACAGGAATCAAAATTAGGAATCAAGCCCCAGTGACTGGGAGGATTTCTAAAACTAAAGAACTTGGAAAAACGTCATAGTTCAGTTGTGTAAAGTCCCGAACTGAAAATAGGGAGATAGGTTTGAAACGTGTGTGCGTTGCCGGGGGGTGGGGTGGGGGGGGTGGTGGTTATTATGAAGGGGACCTTCTATGACTAGCTGAGGAATGAATCTGTTATTACTTTAGCAATAAATTACACAGATAGCTTTTGGACAGAAGAATAGCTATCAGATTTACCCTTTAAGAAAACTGTTGTGATAACCGTGTCCCTAGGGTGAAGAAGAGAAGGGTAAAGACTAACGGTTAGATCAGGTTATTTCAACTGACCAGGTAATCAGTAGTCAGAAAAAGAACGTGAATGACTAGGGTTGAATTGAAAAGAAGGAGACCAAAAAAAACAAATATGCACAAGAGCAGGCAGCTAAATTATGACAAGCAAGACTTTGAAATCTTTCCAAAAAAAAATTTCTTAACTTTCTGTTAGAAATAAACCCTGACCATAAAAGTGAAGTATATTTGTACAACATTTGCAATGCCTTCACAATACAATATTCTGGGGAAAAGTGATGTTTTTCTACACATACTGATGACCTGCAAAAGTTCCGTCAATTAGATTTGGTGGTTTCCTCTTATGCCAATTTTCTTTGGGAGATAAATGAGGAGCAAAGAAGAGTAACAAGTATTGTCCTGGTATCTGGCACTCAGGCTAGTAAGGGCTAGGCAATTATCATTCAGGCTTTATATAGCTGGGATAGCAATTCACAAAATAAAACACTAATTCTACAAATAACAAATGCTAGAGAGGGTACGGAGAAAAGGTACTGCAGGTGGGAATGTAAATTGGTGCAGCCACTATGGAAACAGTACAGAGGTTCCTTAAAAAACTAAAAACAGGGTTGCCATATGATCAAGCAATCCCACCGCCGAGCACATATCTAAAGAAAACTATAATTTGAAAAGACACATGCACCTCAATGTTCATAGCAGCACTATTTATAATAGCCAAGACATGAAGTAAGGTAAATAAATGTCCACTGACAGATGAATGGATAAAAAATACACACACACACACACACACACACACACACACACACACACAGGAATACTACTCAGCCATAAAAAAGAATGAAATGCCATTTGCAGTAACATGGACAGACCTAGAGATTATCATACCAAGTGAAGTAAGTCAGAAGAGAAAAACAAATACTATATGATATCACTCGCATTTGGAATCTAAAGTATGACAGAAATGAACTTATTTATGAAACAGAAGCAGACTCACAGACAAAGAAAACAAGCTTATGGTTACCAAAGGGGAAAGGGAAGGGATAAATTAGGAGCACGGATTAGCAGACACAAAGTACTATATATAACACAGATAAACAATAAAGTCCTACTGTATAGCACAAGGAACTGTATTCACTACCGTACAATAAACCATAATGGAAAAGAAAGTGAAAAAGAATATGTATATATGTGTATAGCTGAATCATTTGGGTGTGCACCAGAAGCTAACACAACATTGTAAATCAAGTACACATCAATAAAAAATTTTTAAAAATAAACAAACTACTACTGAGCAAAAGATGTGACTCTTGGTCAAGGAACTAGTAACAATATTTAACTATTTTCACAATCTTTAAAATTTCCTTTAATCTTAATGTGAGTTTAGAAAATGTCAAATTTTATTCTGAAATTTTATATTTAAATATTATATTTAATATAATTTCTGTAAAAGGATTCAAGATACAGATTTATTTACCCTCTGAAACAGCTGTTGGAGGGGAACCAAAAACAATCTTTTCTATATAAAATCTAATATCCCTAAATCAGTGGTGTTCATATAAACCACTCAAATCTGACAAAACTAGTAACTGATTTTTAATATAGTTAGTAATGGCTAAAACCTATTGAGCACTTACTAAGTGACAGACTCTCCTAGGTGATTTACCCACATTGATTCATTTAATCCTGACTATAGCGCTATGCACTAGATACAACCATTTCACATCTATAAGACGTGAAAACCAAAGAGAGGTTAAGTAACTTGTCCTGGACATCAATGTCTTCAATATAATAGCAATATATACAACAAAGCAATACACTTATTTTAATACCATTTGGTCACACTTATGTTCTTTTGGAAAAATGGTTTTGAAAAAGGGCTGTCTGTATTAAGGGACATGTATCAATGAGTTAAGTCTTTAAAAATATTAGTTAACTCCTTTTCCTTCTTTACTATACAATCCACTTGATGTTTTTAACATTTCAGGTAAAATATATTCTAGTTTAACAACTATAAGTCCACTAATAACCTATTTTAAATTTAAACATTTCTTCAAGTTAAGAAGCAACAGTTTTTTACAGAGTCTATTGAAACTATGGCAAAATACCAATAGGCATTATTCATAACTATTTTAAGGGACCACACCCAACATCAGTATTAAAAAAAGAGTGAAACACTATCATTTTTCAGCCACAGCAATGACTTTTAAAACATGCAGCATTTATTGACGTCAAAATCAAGTGCTTGCTACTGTCATTATTCCACCTTTCTTAGAAAGAAATGGTTCAGAAAAATTATTAAGAAACACAGAACATAAATCCTGACTAATATACATAAAGACTAAGCAGTCAAGGAAAGTGAACTTAGTTTTAGAAAAATTTAAATAATTAGCATTTCATTCAAATTAATTACATATGTCTAACATGATATATAAGTGGAAAATGTTGTCATTTTCAGAATACTGGCTGTTTTACTTTGTCATTAGCTAGGGGAATGGTTAACTCCAAAAGAGCTATTAAAGGAAAAAAGCAGTTAACAATTAAAGAGCTAGAGTAATTTTGCCAAAACATATTAAGGAAAAATAATTTACAAAAATACACAGAGTTAAAGGAGTATAGTCTCAATCCAGACTATTTTTTAGATTCAGACAGCCCTTGATCTCTCTTCTAGCTGGGGGGAGGCAGAGAAGAAAGGAAGCAAGGGAGGAGGCAGTGGAAAGAGAGACCTGTAAAATATAAAAGAAGCATATAGTGCTGGAATTCTCATCACCATGAAATCTGATTCAAAACAGGGAAAAACTTTCTAAGCATCATGAGACAGGATGTTCTATTCTGTCCAGAAACTTACATGAGAAAATCTACTACACCAAAGTAGGGAATTTAATGGAATGAAAGCTTTTGGCAGCTACTTTTTGGCGACTAAACCCAGTTGTTATAATGACAAAACTATTAAGAAATGAAATGAAAGCTAAATCAACTGATCATGAGGGAGGATCAAATAAGAATTATAAACTTTCTTATTTTCCACCAGAAATCTTTGAGATTATGAATAGAAAATCCATATGAAGATTTTCTACCACAACTAATAAAGTTAAGAGAGATCAGTGGTGTGGCTTTAGAGTTCTTCACATTTAAAATAAATAATGAGAAGTATATAAGTTACTCTAAAAATGATTCCTCTCATCTTAAAATAATAATATAAATAAATAACAATAATCTAAGATCTAACAAAGCATTTATTCACCAAATAGTTTTGAAATATTACTGTGAGCCAACAGTAAAAAGTTTCACAAAGAAAGTACTTTAGAAATATGGTGGTTTTTACTTATCTTCGACAAAGGAGGCAAGGATATACAATGGAAAAAAGACAACCTCTTTAACAAGAGGTGCTGGGAAAACTGGTCAACCACCTGTAAAAGAATGAAACTAGAACATCTTCTAACACCATACACAAAAATAAACTCAAAATGGATTAAAGAGCTAATGACAAAAACCACTGCAATGATGTAATTAGCCTCCAACTAATAAAAATAAATGGAAAAAAAAATAAAAATAAAGATCTAAATGTAAGACCAGAAACTATAAAACTCCTAGAGGAGAACATAGGCAAAACACTCTCTGACATAAATCACAGCAGGATCCTCTATGACCCACCTCCCAGAATATTGGAAATAAAAGCAAAAATAAACAAATGGAACCTAATGAAACTTAAAAGCTTTTGCATAACAAAGGAAACTATAAGTAAGGTGAAAAGACAGCCCTCAGATTGGGAGAAAATAATAGCAAACGAAGCAACAGACAAAGGATTAATCTCAAAAATATACAAGCAGCTCCTGCAGCTCAATTCCAGAAAAATAAATGACCCAATCAAAAAATGGGCCAAAGAACTAAACAGACATTTCTCCAAGGAAGACATACAGATGGCTAACAAACACATGAAAAGATACTCAACATCACTCATTATCAAAGAAATGCAAATCAAAACCACAATGAGGCACCATTACACGCCAGTCAGGATGGCTGCTATCCAAAAGTCTACAAGCAATAAATGCTGGAGAGGGTGTGGAGAAAAGGGAACCCTCTTACACTGTTGGTGTGAATGCAAACTAGTACAGTCACTATGGAGAACAGTGTGGAGATTCCTTAAAAAGCTGGAAATAGAACTGCCATATGACCCAGCAATCCCACTTCTGGGCATACACACCGAGAAAACCAGATCTGAAAGAGACACGTGCACCCCAATGTTCATCGCATCACTGTTTATAATTGCCAGGACATGGAAGCAACCTAGATGCCCATCAGCAGACGAATAGATAAGGAAGCTATGGTACATATACACAATGGAATATTACTCAGCCATTAAAAAGAATTCATTTGAATCAGTTCTAATGAGATGGATGAAACTGGAGCCCATTATACAGAGTGAAGTAAGCCAGAAAGATAAACACCAATACAGTATACTAACGCATATATATGGAATTTAAAAAGATGGTAACGATAACCTTACATGCAAAACAGAAAAAGAGACACAGATGTACAGAACAGACTTTGGGACTCTGTGGGAGAAGGCGAGGGTGGGATGTTCTGAGAGAACAGCATTGAAACAAGTATACTATCAAGGGTGAAACAGATTACCAGCCCAGGTTGGATGCATGAGACAAGTGCTCAGGGCTGGTGCACTGGGAAGACCCAGAGGGATGGGATGGGGAGGGAGGCGGGAGGGGGGATCGGGATGGGGAACACATGTGAATCCATGGCTGATTCATGTCAATGTATGGCAAAAACCACTACAATATTGTAAAGTAATTAGCCTCCAACTAATAAAAATAAATGAAAAAAAAATGGTGGTTTTTTAAAAAAATCTTCTTTTAAAGTTCTACAAATTGTTGAATGGTTGGCATAATTCTAAAATCTGTCACTGCTACAAATAGATTTAAAATAGTAAAAGCACAAACAATATAATTCAAAATAGAAAACATATAGAATAGTTTTGCATAGACTAATGTAAAGAACATTCTCCGTTTTTCTCTTTTAAGGAAACACAATCGAGTTTCTTCTCCTTTGGCTTACATGCCAGGTCTGGCATTCAAGTAATTCTGCAGACCTAACAGTCGGTTTCAAAATTTCCCATAACATGTTCTTTAGACCCAATGAAATATTATAAAGAGAAGAGGAGGGAGGCTTCCAAAAGCAAACAAATTTAAGAAATACTCCATTACCCAAACTCTTTAAATATCCAACATACACATTAGCATGTTAAAAGCCCTGAAAAGTCACAAACTCTGTTGATATAACATCTATTAATTTTTCTGAGTCAATGTTTTCCAGATAATGTCTGGTAAATCTTTGTTTTCTAATCATTTATTAACTTGGAGTCTCTGACTTTTTCCTTCAGTTCAGTTAGTTCAGTCACTCAGTCATGTCCAACTCTGCCATCCCATGGACTGCAGCACGCCAGGCTTCCCTGTTCATCACCAACTCCCGGAGCTTGCTCAAACTCATGTCCATCAAGTCGGTGACGCCATCCAACCATCTCATCCTCTGTCATCCCCTTCTCCTCCCACCTTCAATCTTTCCCAGGATCAGGGTCTATTTCAATGAGTCATTTCTTCACATCAGGTGGCCAAAGTATTGGAGTTTCAGTTTCAGCGTCAGTCCTTCCAATGAATATTCAGGATTGATTTCCTTTAGGATGGACTGGTTGGATCTCCTTGCAATCCAAGGGATTCTCAAGAGTCTTCTCCAACACCACAGTTCAAAAGCATCAATTCTTCCATGCTCAGCTTTCTTTATAGCACAACTCTCACATCCATACATGACTATTGGAAAAACCATACCTTTGACCAAACGGACATTTGTTGGCAAAGTAATGTCTCTGTTTTTTAACATGCTGTCTAGGTTGGTCATAGCTTTTCTTCCAAGGAGCAAGTGCCTTTCATTTCATGGCTGCAGTCACCATCTGCAGTGATTTGGGAGCCCAGGAAAAGAAAGTCTGTCACTGTTTCCACTGTTTCCTCATCTATTTGCCATGAGGTGATGGGACCGGATGCCCTGATCTTCGTTTTTTGAATGTTGAGTTTTAGGCCAGCTTTTTCACTCTCCTGTTTCATTGTCATCAAGAGGCTCTTGAGTTCCTCTTCACTTTCTGTCACAAGGGTGGTTGGTGTCATCCGCTTATCTAAGGTTATTGATATTTCCCCTGGCAATCTTGATTCCAGCTCGTGCTTCGTCCAGTCCAGCATTTCTCATGATGTACTCTGCATATAAGTTAAACAAGCAGGGTGACAATATACAGCCTTGACGTACTCTTTTCCCAATTTGGAACCAGTCTGTTGTTCCATGTACAGTTCTAATGGTTGCTTCTTGACCTGCATACACATTTCTCAGGAGGCAGGTCAGGTGCTCTGGTATTCCCATCTCTTTAAGAATGTTCCACAGTTGTGATCCACACAGTCACAACAAACTGTGGAACTTTTTCCTTACGTGACATTAAATAAAGCCTATATGCCAAAGTGACTTTTTTTGCCCACTGTGAATGTTTTATCTGTATTTTTGAGGAAAGTTAAATTTTTAAATGCAATGAGTTGCCTTATATTCATAATGTAGTACAGAGTAATGGGGGTTGGGGGCAGGTCTTTCTCCCAAGCCCAAGAAATAGGCAGGCAGGCACAAGCTCTCTCTGGAGACACAAATGGCAGCCACATATGCCTTCTAGGCAGGTTTTTAAATACTAAATACCTCAGAAATCAGGTCTCCAGAAAAGGAGGAGGAGCAGACTACCTCAAAGGCAGAGGTCATTTGAATATTTAGAGATGGTTTTCAAGATCATTTAGGGTCATCTCATCCCTCACTTGGTACACAAGGGATTTAAGGCCCAGAGACAGAGCCAGGGTTCAAGACCAAGTCTTTTCACTTCAGATCTCAGGCTCATTTCTCTAGGTCATGCTGCCTCCCGGGCCTCATGGAGGGCTGGGTTTGTGTAAGCTGACAAGAAAGCAGCTGGGCACCTACTATAAACAGCTATAAGTTAAGGATTAAACAAACAGTATTATCAAACACCCAGCTTCAGCCTCAGGAAGTTAAAGAAAATTAAGAAAAAGCTGATTTTGTCTCATTAGTCTAATCATCATCAAATGCTAAAGCTCTTTTCTTGATAACATTTTTAAAAACTGTAGTATGTTTTAGGTCAAATCATTTTATATTTGAGTTCATATTAGATCCTATACCTAAGCAGTAGATGTTGAAGATGAGGCATATAAGTAACTCGAGGCAAACAGGTGATTAAAACATGGCTGTCAAACTTTTTAATTTCCAAAGCTTTCATTTTGATTCCATATTCACGACATGCTTTGTTAGCTGTTAAAGTTACATATTCAGATAGCTGAGATTGTTTCAAAATGTAAATGTTTTAACCTTTAATTCTGTGATGTCAGCTGATCACATCCAAGTCATTCCTAGACAGATATCACAAATCTTGGACGTGATCAAGCATATAGTCCTTTTCCCTTTCCTTTTGCAAACCAAATATTTCCTCTGACCTAATTATTTTCCCGGGCTAAAATCCTAAGTTTCCTAAATCTATCATCAGCCAGTTCAGTGGCTCAGTCGTGTCCGACTCTTTGCCACCCCAGGGACCGCAGCACGCCAGGCCTCCCTGTCTATCACCAACTCCCGGAGTTTACTCAGACTCATGTCCATTGAGTCGGTGATGCCTTCTATCTATCATCGATACTAGCAATTATTACGGAAAAAAGAAAACTACATTTTTAAATTTAAAAAGTGCTATTTCTTTTTAAAATACAAAATAAAGATACATTAGATAACACAGACTCAAAACAGTTTTAAATGCAAACAAACTAACCTGTGTAAGAAATATGACTGACCCTAATCTTTGGGAGTTTTTTCTTTTCAAACTCTTATAAAGAAGAATCAAATGAGTACAAGCCTAAGAAGTGTTCAAAGAGTCATTCCCACTCTTTGTACAAAAAAAGGATAAAAGCAAATTAAGTTGCCATAGTTTTCACAATGTCTTTTCTTAATAAGAGGAAAACTGACGTTAACTTTTTTCATTATCTAAGAGATTAAAATCTGACTTAACATTGGACCCCTTAAGTTAGGAGAAAATATGGATTGTTTCCTCTCATTTCTTCTCATTCTGTTAAAGTAAAGCTTCGTAAAATAACCCATTTTTCATAGTCTTCAACAGTACAGGGAATCAACTCGACACATTAAAATTTTAATTCAAGGCCAAAGGACACTCTTGAAACATTTTGAAACGTTATGCATTTATTTTGTTGATGGACTCATGCCAAATTTTTGACTTGCACTAATTTATTTCAGTGGTGGCTTGTTTGGTTTTTGTCTGTTTTGAGAGGAGGTGGAAAAAGAGTTAAGGGAGTTCAGAGTTAAGAGGTGGGATGCAATTACTCACAATCTCACTCCAGTTTCTGGTTCCCCCTCCTCCCAACCAAAGAATGGATGGTCTCCACTAAAGTTAATGTCTAAATGACTGAGAAAAGAAATTCATTAAGTGAGAAATTCACTGCATGGTAAATCATGTGGTATCTCTGATTACTTAATGACCAGCAAAGCATAATCAGTATCATTCTTTGTACTTAAGTATAATGGCTTTTGTTGTTTGTTTTTGCTTAATGGACTCAAAAGACAGACCCTTTTTCACTTGGAATCTGATGTATCTAGAGATTATTTTATGGTACCTTTTGTTCTTCTGTGAATTCAGAATTATTGTGTTGAGCTTGGGCCTCTTTTTGTAGGTGTCTCGCTAATCTGTAAGAAGAAACAAACATTCTTTAGAAGTGAAGGACAGCAAAGTATTTCAAGTACAAGGTAAAACAATTTAAATCTTAAAAAACAGTGGAGTACAATAACACTTTTCTTCTGTTTTCAAAGTATAAATCTACACTATCATTAGAATTTAACTTTGTGCGACAATGAAAATAAGATACAATATTTTCCAAACCATTTCACTGGGATAAATTTCAGCTTGAGACCATAAAAACAGAATCACAGAGCTGGAAAGAATTCCAAATAACATCTAATTCAACTTTCTTCAGTACACATGATTTTCTTCTACAATAAACCAATAGCAGTTGTCCAGATTCAGCTTAAACACTTCCAGTGAACACCAGTAATAGTACTGACCGAAGATATTTTATCAGTCTATCATTAATTTGCTGATAAGACTAGTTCAAATTACAGCTGTAACAAAGTGATGATACTCTATCAAATTATACTTTTGAACATATCTTTCAAGGCAAATAAAGAAAATTCCCTACCGATCAGACACGGAAATCATTGTTTGCCCAGTTATCATCATACTTATAAACAGCAGCTAGCCTTGGATGAATTTTCAAGGATGGATCTGTGTTACACGTCTAAGCTCAACAATAAAAATCCAGAACTATTTTTGAGACACCAAAAACCAAAGGAGTGATGCTTACAGCTAAATAATAAAAAGACAAAATAAATTTAAAAATGAGTAAAAGACTTGACTGACAGACATTTTCTCCAAAGATATAAAAGTGACCCATAAGCACATGAATATAATATCATTAGTCATTAGAGAAATACAAATCAAAACCACAATGAGATACCACTTCACACCCACCAGGATGGGTATAACTTTTAAAAGAGGGGAGAAAACCTACAAGGTGTTGGCAAGGATGTGGAAACTAGAATCCTCACACTGAAGTAAAGAAAAGTAAAATGGTACAGTCATTGTGGAAAACAATTTGGCAGCTCCTCAAAAAGTTAAACATAGAGTTACCATATAACCCAGCAGTTTCAAAATCCTATGTATATTCCCAAGAGGACAGAAAACATGTTCACACACACACACACATAGTACATAAATGTTCACAGTAGCAGCATTATGCATGATAGCCAAAAAGTGCAAATACCCCAGATAAACAAAATGTGGTCCACACATTCAAAGGAATATTATTTGACCATAAAGAATAAAATACTAATACATGCTACAACATGGATGAACCTTAAAAACATTAAACTAAATGAAAGAAGTCAGATGTAAAAGATCATGTATTACCCGATTCCATTTACATGAAATATCCAGAATGGGTAAATCCATAGAGATATAAAGCAGGTTAGTGGTTGTCATGGGCTTGGGAAAGGAAAGAACTGAAGTGACCCATTTCAGGTAAAGGGTTTCTTATGAGGGTGATGGAAATGCTCTGGAATTATAGTGGTGATGCTGGCATAACATTATGAATAGACTAAAATCTACCAAACTGTACAAGCTCACAATGCTAAATCTCATGTTATATGATATTTATTTTAATTTTTAAAATTTGCAGGGCAGCAGGGGGTAGGGGAACCAAAGAACCAAAAGGACTTTTTTGGTGAAACATTTTATAACTGGCTAAAGAAATTGAAACTACAATTCCCAAGCATACTATACTATCCCAGGTGGGGAATGGAGGCAGGGATACAAGAGGTGCATGTGCTGGATTTCCCACCAAGCCACAGCAAAAGAAGTTCACCATGTTTCCAAAAAGCCTTAGATGGAAGTTCTGTTCTATGTAATCGTATCTTTAAAGATCAGGCATAAAGTTCACTTGATGACTTTTTTTCAGTCTATGAAAGGTTCACATTCTTCTTATCATAATGCAAGAAACTCCTACATGAAATCATAACATTTACCAGGATAGTTCTACTATATTACTTAAAATGTTTCCATCCATTTCTTTCTTTTCCTCCCAAACTGAAAATGCCAGAATATTTTTCCTAAAATGTCATTCCTAGACACACTCTTTGCAGATTTTAAGCAGGATTAAGTATAGTTAGAAATAGACAAAGCCATACTTGTCCCATACAAAGTCCCGTACAGTATTTCATTTACTTTCTAACTATTGATAGTCTACCATCTACGTATAGTTCTCTTTAGGAATCACAGTCTACACTTAACAATGTCAACTGTACATCCCTGAATTCAGGCAAGCTACAATGTAGTGTGGCAGTTTCTTTATTTGACTAGTTCCACTTGCTTGGAGAATCCATGGACAGAGGAGCCTGGTGGGCTGCAGTCCATAGGGTCACCCAGAATCAGACACAACTGAAGCAACTTAGCACACACACACACCCACACAATATGCCAATAGTGACTGTTAACCTAAGCAGGTCACTATCAGAAGAAAGACTATAGGAAATATTTGCAAATCATATATCCTATCTGACGAAGGACTTATATCCAGAATATACCAAAAAACCCTTCTAATTCAATAGGGAAAAGACAACTTAATTGAAAAACAGGCAAAAGGTTTGAAGACATTTTACAAACAAGATTTACAAGGAAAATAAGCATCAAAGAAAAGATGTTCAGTGTCATTAGTTGTAAGAGAAAGGCAAATTAAAACCAGGGAAATACACTATATACCCACTAGAATGGCTATAATCAGAGAGACACATGGTAACAAATGTTGCCAAAGTGGATAAACAGGAACTCTCATATATTGTTGGTAGAAATGTAAAATGGTACACCCAGTTTGATCAACCATTTGGCAGTTTCCTTTTAAAAATTAGACATAAATTCACCATATGAGCCAGCAATTCCATTCCGTGGGTATCTACCTAAGAATGAAAATACACGTGCACACAAGGGCTTGCATGTAAATGTTCACAGCAGTATTAAAAACTAGAAAGAATTCAAATGTCCATCAATTAGTGAATGGATACACAAAATATGGTATATCCATACAATGTAATGTTACTCATCAGTAACAAGGAACAAAAGACTGATCCATCCAACAACATGGATGAAACTCAAACACAGGATGCTAAATGAAAGAAGCCACATACAGACCGTAAGATTCAATTTATATAAAATGTCCAGAAAAGATCATTTCATCTTTAGAGACAGAATGTAAATTATCAGTTGCCTGGGACTAGAGGGGGAATATGGAATGACTGCAAATGTGCAGAGATCTTTGTGGGGTGATGGAAATGCTGTAAAACTTGATTGTAGTGATGGCTGTGTAACTTGGTAAATTTACTAAAAATTCACTGAATTGTAAAATGGTGAATTTCACTGTAGATGATTAAATCTCAATGAAGTTATTTTTTAAAACTTTTTAAAAAACCTAGGCAAAAAAGCCAAACCCATAAACAACTGCACCATTTTAAGACAAAATGAGACAAATAAGACAAAATCTGTCCACTGAGGAAAAACCCACATGCTCTAGGTATCAGAAGAGCAGGTTAAGAGTTGACATTCTATTAGTAGACAAAATAAGACAAAATCTGTCCACTGAGGAAAAACCCACATGCTCTAGGTATCAGAAGAGCAGGTTAAGAGTTGACATTCTATTAGTAGACAAAATAAGACAAAATCTGTCCACTGAGGAAAACCCACATGCTCTAGGTATCAGAAGAGCAGGTTAAGAGTTGACATTCTATTAGTAAGGGAGAGAAAACTGCCAACTCTCCTTCTCTAGAGAATAACCTCAGTTTACAAGGGTGCCTACAGTTAATACAGGACTATCCTCAGGGGGAAGTTTTAAATATACTTAAAGAACATAAACAAGTGACCCACAGAAGTCCCACAGCAATCTACGACAGTTCTTCTCAAACTATCTAGAGTGAAGGATGAGCTTTTTGCCCCCAATCTATTCTAGCCTAATGCTTTTGTAAAATAAAATAAAAACTATCATGAAGATGTCAAATTGCAATAAAGTTCCTAAATCTTAAATCCCAATTTCTTTACTTATCTCACTGCATACTAGTAACGGTTTGCAGACCAGCAAACATCTGGGACCACACTTTGAGAGGCGCTGATATCAGACATAGCAAAGACGATTAATAGGTATCCAATCTTCAAACTCACCCATTCATTTAACAAATATTTACTGAGCATCCATGTGCTGGATCAATACCTTAAGACTGATTCTATGAAATAGGGAAAAGAGAGTCCAGGCCACTCTACCCTAAGTTAGGAGGCAGGTACCCACCCCCAGGCTGCTGAAAGCGGTAACCTGCTAGATAAGAGTTGTTTTTAATTGACCATGCATATTTAGGAGAGCAATTTTCGTTTTGACATAATTTGTTTAGGTTTTCCAATAGTATCGTGGCATCAACTCCTTAATGCTTCCATGGCATACTCCTGAATCAAGCCATTCACTAGAATACAACAATTACATAATATCTAGATAAGTGAAGGAAATGGCAACCCACTCCAGTATTCTTGCCTGGAGAATTCCATGCACAGAGGAGCCTGGTGGGGTACAGTCCATGAACTCGAAATGAATTGGTCACCACCAAGCGACTAACACCCACACACACACCAGCCTACCACTACTCTGGCCACTAAACATACAGTAGACGACAAAACAGACAGCTCCCTGTTTTCTGTCCCCAAAGAGCTGCCATCCAAGTGGAGAGGGAGACGACAAACCAAATGAATACAGAAAGTACACTGTATTTTAAATGGTGGTAAACACTATGTAAGAAAACCAGGATTAGGGGGTTGGATGTGCAAGAATGAGGTGAGTGGGAGTGGATAGCAGACTCAACCGAGCAATCTTTAATTAATTTCTATTGGAGTATACTTGCTTTACAGTGTTATGCTAGTTTATGCTGTACAGCAAAGCCAATCAGCTGTGTGTTTGCACATACCCCTTTTTTGGATTCCCTTCCCACTCAGGTCGCCGCAGAGCACAGTAGAATTCCCTGTGCTCCACGGCAGGTTCTCGGCAGTTGTCTATTTTACACACAGCATTAACAGTGTACACAAGTCCATCTCAGGCTCCCAATTCAGCCCACCCAGCAGTTTTAAATAGGGAGGCCAGAGAGGGTCCCACAGGGAGCATAATATGTGGACAAAAACCTGAAGGAGGTGATCCAGCAGCCCAGACAACAGGGAGTGTGCCAGAGAAAGGACAAACGGCCTAAGGCAGAGGCAGGCTTCAGGAAACAGCAAGGAAGAGCGGTAGCACTTACTCTTTTCATACTCCTGTGACAGGAATACCCATTTGTTTTAAAATCCTCCATTCGACTCAGTACTATGAGGGTGAAGATCAAATGTTATTCATGTCTATATACTTAGCTCTCACTTGCTGACTGAACAGCTGATGAAACTGTTCAAGCTATGATATTCTTACCTGGCAATAAGTACAAACATGCTTATTCCCTCCCTCAACATCCCATGAACACACTCCTGTATGTTGCAGGGTTGTAAAAACACTGCTGGCTTCCCCATCAGAAAGGCCAGTTCTCCCAGAGGCCTCCTCCTCCTCTCGGTATCTAGTAAGTGGCTAAATCCTGTCCATTCTTCTTCACATCACTTAGTGGCTCCCAAATCTCTTTTGTTGGCAGTTTTTCTCACAGATAATTCAAATAAAACAGACATCTGGCCTCAAATTTGTGAGTACATTAATTTTAAATTCAACTTCATTTTATATGTAGCCTGTATGTTTACAAAGTTTAAGCCAATCATGACACATTTCTACTCAAATTTGACATTGGTGGTTTTTATAATAACTTGAGAATTACTCTGAATCATGACGTTCACCGTTAGTAACTGAGATTCAACAATAGATTTGTCTGTGCCTATTACTCTCTTACTGAGATGTTTTTAGAAATTCCAGCTAAACAGCTTGCATATTCAATTTTCCTTTGTAACTTCAATTGGACATGGTATTCTTCACTTTCCATTGTAAGGTCTGCTGCTGAGTGCCAACAGCTGCGAGGTCCCACCATCACAAGTGAAAGGCAGCTTTAGATTTCAGACTATGCAAGTTCAGTTAACATAGAATGAGGATGCCCAGTGCTCACTAACTGGCTACAGAATGGAAGGATACATTCTCTGGTAATGAAGGAAGTCTTCTAATGTGTCCAATTCACTCACATAATGTATCAAAACATTTGTGTTTAACAAAATGTCTTAAACACTACACAGTACAGCAAACAAGATTTGAAATTAAAAAAAAAAAAAAAGTCCCAGACTTCAGTAATATAGTTGCATGACTCCAGGTAATCTCATTAACCTGAGCTTCAGTTTCCTCACTTGTAAAATGAGAATAATAATATTCTTACTAAGCAGTTGCAAGAGTAAGTGAAATTAAGTGAAAATGCAAAACAAAAGCCAGAAGTTATCGCACATGGCAAAATGGCCCAAAGCATGGTGGTTTTCAGGGCTTTTGAAAAATGGCAGGCAATTCAAAGTCAGTAAGGTGAGATAGAAAACATCCATGCAGGGTTTCTCTGGCGGTCCAGTGGCTAAAACTTCCACCTTCCAATACAGGTGGTGTGGGTTCAATCCCTGATTGGGGAGCTGGACTCCCACATGCCTGGCAGCCAAGAAATCAAAACAGAAGCAATATTTTAACAAATTCAATAAAGAGTTTCAAAACGGTTCACATTAAGAAAAAAAATCTTTAAAAACATCTACGCATTTAAATTGCCTTAATGGTCAAATAAAAACAAGTAACCATTGTAGAAGAAGAATACAGGATTTAGATCTTTCAAGGACCAATCCTGTATTCTTTCCAACAGACGTTTGAGAAGGGGAAAAAAAAATGTTTTACTAACACATGGTTTCAAACAATAACTTACTTGAAACCAAGAGGTAATTAATGTCAACAGTTTGCAAACAATAGCATTTCAGCAGGCAGTTTAGTAAAATGTGCAAGAAACCAGGCAAGGTTTTATATATACGCAAACCTGGCCTTATAATTTTAAAAACATCCCTGAAGTTTGGGGAGGAAACCAGGAAAGGAAAGAAACTGGACTTGGGTAGATCAAAGAACCTGGTGCTCACTTGTACCCGGCGGCTATACATTATACACAGGAAAAGGAGGAGGGACCCGAGGAGGGAGTGGTGGCTCCTGTGCGTGGTCTATTAATTCACATTTTGCTCTCTTCTGTTCACATCCTGCGCGGACTCCACCCAGAGCAACCGAGCGAGGGGTGGGTGGGACTCACCCAGCCTAGCAAATAACAGTCCTAGAAACCGAAACGGATTCGAGGTGAACTGGGAAAACAAGGCTCTCCAGAAAGAGGGGTGGAGAAGGGGCATGAGAGGGGACCTTTCTTTTGGCTCATGAGACCTCCGGTCTCGACGCTTCCCGAGGACACCCCCTCCCCTCAATCGCCACCCGTTCCCTCCAGTCCTACCCAGGGCTGGAGGAAGGCACGGTCCACAGAGCAAGGCCACTCATCCCTGGAACGTGGGCGGAGAACCCAGAAGTATTCCTAAGAGATTCTAAAAGAGAAACTGAGGGGCGGCAACGTGAGAGAGGCGGAGAGGGGAAAAGGAAACTGACTGCGGAGCGGGGGATCCGGGAGTCGGTGGCAAGGAACTCAGTAGTAGCCTGAATGGGCTGGCGCCCCGGGAGAAGTGCTACCTGTTGCATTGGAACTGGCCCGGCGGAGGGCGAAAAACCCCAGAGAGCGGACTGTTGTCTCCGGGGCCAGTGAGATCTCAGCCCCAGTGCCTGCGGGGCCCCACCCTGAGAAGCCTTGGCTACAGATACACTGATGAGAGACACCGACAGAAAGAAGGGGGGAGGCGGCCGACTGGAGCCGGTCTGGCCCGCTCCCGCGGTTAGTCACTCACATCTGATACTCGTCTATCGCCTCCACCAGCTGGCCCCAAGAGTCGAAGTCGGCGCCTCTCCTAAAACTGGCTCCCCAGCGCTGCAGCAGACTTCGGGTCACCTCCGACATGGCCGGTCCCCACCCCGTCCCCTCCCGCCCCTACCCCCAGGAAAGGCCGGGCTCTAGGGCGCCATCCTCCCCGGGCCTGGCCCCGACATTAACAGGGCCAGGAGGAACCGCTACGGCCACCGCCGCCACCCGCCAAGGAGCCGCCCAAGCCCATTTGCCGCCACAGCCAAACTTTGCGGCTCTGAAGCGGCCGCCCCGCCGAAGCTCCGCCCCCGAGGCCCCGCCCCGGGTTAGGTTGAGGCCCGCCCGCTCCCCCAATTGGCTGCCATTGCTACTGAGGCATTCTTCCTCGGCTTAGGAGGCCCGGCCAGTCATGCTCTTTGTCTCTAGAGGAGACCGCAGCTCACGCGGAAAGACTGTGGAGGAATATCTTTAAAAGGGCTGAGGAACGAAGTGTTTGAAGGGGGCTGCGACAACGCGGCAGCCTCCACTACCGAGGCGGCGCACACCGCCGAACCTCGGTAGCTGTCATGGCCGCCGCGGGCACGTGACCGCGGCTCGCGCAGGCTTGGTTCCATCGCTTTAGTTCTGTAGTCCCGGCTTGCCGACTCCCTCCCTTTCTCGTTTTGAGGAGTCGGACATTTCCGTTCTTCCCTCAGGAGGACTGCTGTACAGACTCCGAGGAATCTGGTAAGTATGTTATGAGGCTGGGCCTGTCGTCTCCCCAGAGTTCCAAGCAATAGGATCAAGCCTTTTTACAACAGGTTCCATAGACTCCCGGATAAGTGGTCTACAAAAGCCTCCTCCTAGTGCCTTCAAACAAATGAGAGAAAGAAAATCCACGTTAGCCCCACGAATCAATGGTAGTAACAAGCTAGGTTCGCTGAATCCCCTTGCCCCGGTCTCCACTAGCAGTCGGGCTGTCTCAAAAGCTATATGTAGGGGTTGGTTAAGGCTCCTCTGTCCGCCTCCCAGTTAGATAGTATCGGCTTTCCACAAAAATGTCTGTTCAGGAGGGGCACGCTAGGATGTGCGCCTGCGCAAGCTCACGGCGTTCCACTGGACTGGGCACCGGAGGCAGAGGCTGGGTGGTAAACAGGAAGTGGACCTTCGGAGCCCTGGTGGCGGTAGGTGACGCGGGGACCCAGGGTCTTCAGAGTCGGGGACCGTTGTCGGTAATCAGACTTTTCTTGTGGCAGCCGGTTTAGGCGGCAGGCTCGATCCGACTGTTGTGCTGCGTGGCTTTAAAGACACCCTTCCTTGCATCTGCAGGTGGGTGTGTCGTCTTTCTACCCCACCTTTGGAATTCTCGAAAACCGGAGTGCGAGTCTCTCACCGGACAGATCGGGCAGGGGTAGAGGACACAGTATTTACCCTCTTCGTTCCTAAACTAAAAGTGTACGTAACTTAAAACATTTCAGCTGGTAAGTGGGAGGGAGCACTAAAATAGTATTTGTGAAAAATTTAAACTCACAAGTGTGTATTGTGTGCCATAGTTTCTAGGAGGCTTGGTTTATATGTACAGAGATGCTGTATTCGTTTACATACGTCATAAAGGAGGTTTAAATGGATGATGTTTAGAAGGTTATATATTTTTGAAGCCCTTGTTAATTGGGTTGAGTCATAAGTGAACTTACTCAATTTTTCAATGGGTACAAAATGCGCTTGCTATTTCTTAAATATCTGGTGCTCTCCAAAGGCGGTTTTGCCATGAATAACTAAATATAGTAAGGGAGATGCATAAAGTAGGTATTTTTTACACTGAGCAGCCCACGCTTTTTTCCCAATAAGAAAAGTTAATGGACAACATTGTATAATGCTTTCAAATTAATTAAATCTTATCGAATTTCTACTTACTGGAATCTTAACTGCCATGTTTTAAGTCTTCAGCTTTGCCTTCCTGTATTATCATCACTGTTCACACAAGGACTTTTAAGCAAGTGGGACACAGTTTTTTTTTTTTACCGGAAAAGTGTGAAACTTAATTTTTTTTAAGTTGGAATTTCATTTAGGTAGTTTTTAAAATGTCTTGGTTTTTAAGAATACATATATTTTCTTAATTTATTGACGTATAGTTTATTTACAGTGTTGTGTTAATTTCTTCTGTACAGCAAAGTGACTCAGTTATACATACATATATTCTTTTTCATTACAGTTTATCACAGGATATTGGACATAGATCTCTGTGTATACAGTAGAATCGTGTTGTTTATCCATCCTGTATACTAGTTTAGGCTTCCCTGGTGGCTCAGTGGTAAAGCATCCTCCTGCCAGTGCAGGAGACGCAGAAGACATGGTTTCGATCCATGGGTCCAGAAAATTTCGGAGGAAATGGCACCCCACTCCAATGTTCTTGCCTGGAAAAGCCCATGGACAGAGGAGCCTGGTGGGCTACAGTTCATAGGGTCACAGAGTTGGACACAGTTGAGCAATTGAGCACACACATATGCACACATTGATTCTTATTAGCTATTCTGTCTGTCGAAAGTCTGTTTATTACAGAACACATGCTATAACCAGTCAGTTGGCCTCAGCAGTATCACATGGGAAATACAGTTAATTTAAGACCTATTTCTTTCAAGTAACGTTAGCAGTCTAAATAAGGGTCACCATTTGAACCTGTTCTGGAATTACATTTTCCTGGTCCTATGCCTGTTACGTTTTCAGCTGTTCAACCGAAGTCCAGTGCTCTGCTACTCAAAAGAGTAGTTTGGGAACCAGCAGCATCAACTTCCGAGGTCTACCCCAGACTGTTGAATCAGAACCTGCATTTTTAACAAGAACTCCCACCCCTTGTCCCAAGGTGATTTCTGTATACAGTAAAGTTTAATCGTTACTGCTCCAGCGTGTTTAACGTTGCAGTTACTGTGAGCATATTTCCAAATGCTTGTTTTTTATAGGCCTTACCTAAATAAACAGGCTGCTATAAAGACAATTGAAACAAGATTGACTGTGGCAGTGAAGTATTTTATATACATATCTTTTATATATTTTTATATGAAAATATATATCTGATGGTAATTTAAATTTTTTATTTAAAATATTTTAGTACTATTTACATTGCTTTTTAAATGTTTTAGTTTTAGTTTTTATACATTTCTTTTTTGTCAATAGGAAACTTCTGGAGAAAATGACACATTGGTTTCATAGGAACCCATTAAAAGCCACGGCTCCTGTCTCTTTTAACTACTATGGTGTAGTCACTGGCCCAGCTGCTTCAAAAATTTGCAGGTAAGTGTTAGCCAATCTCGACAAATATTGATTGAGCCACCCTTAGATACAGGGCCCTTTTAATAGGTCCATAAACAGTGCAGAAGTATGGAACACACTGTCTGTAACCCTAGACTTCTTGTTTAGTCCTGAAGTCCTGCCTGACAACTTATAAATGATGTGTGGAGAGTTAAGTCATAGATTATTTAAGCTGGGTCCTAAGTTTTAGGTGAGTGAGTGAGTCCTGGAAGCTAAAGCAATTACAATTAGAGTTAAGACATATGTTACAACAGTACAAGAGACTCCACAAAGTCATATTTGGACATTGTTAATTGGCCAGATAGTAAATGAGTTCTGAGCAGGGAGAGATTCCTTTTGACCTGAAATAGCCTTCAGGTTGTTCAGTAGGAGAGAGGACTTGAGCTGGGGTTTAAATGAATTGTATGCCTTAGATCGGGGTTGCCAGACTGTGTCCTTTAGATTGGCCCATAGCTTGTTTTTATAAATAAGATCTTATTAACGAGAACATAGCCACCACCCCCACCCCCCGCCATTTACACATTGTCTTTGGGTGCCTTCCCTCTCTACCGTAAGGTTGAGTACTGCTAAGTGAGACTTTATGGCCCACAAGACCTAGAGTATCTTCAGGACATTTATGGAAAGAGTTTACTGATCCCTGACTTAGATAGTAAGAAGGCTGAGAAGTAAGTCATTTCTGTTAGGAAAACCTTTGTTCTAGGGAATGTGAATAGAGCAGTTTCACTGAGAGATAGATACAAGAGATACAGAGAGATACAAGAGATAGATAACAAAAGAGATAGCTATAAGAGAGATTTTGAAGGAGGTGTCAACTAGCCAGATTGACTGATTTGCTCTGAAAAGTTGAAAAGAATTCAGTCTGAGATTCAGAACCTAGATGATCAAGACATTGGTGGTACCATTAAAGGAAAATTAAAAGAATAGCTGCTTTTGGTGGAAAGAAGTAATCAGAGCCAAAGGTGGAAAAACTGACTTATTGATCTAGATCAGGAGTCAGCAAAGTTTTTCTGTAAAGGGTTAAATACTATATATATTGGTATATATTTTAGGCTTTGCAAGCTATACACAATCACAATTGAATTATTCTTTATTTTATACAAGTAAGCTGTGGGGCATATAAAAACAAGTTATAAGTTGTAGTTTGCCAACCCCTAATCTTAGACTTCTAGACTATTGTTCAGTTGCTAAGTTGTGTCCTACTCTTTGTGACCCCATAGACTCTAGCAGGCCAGGCTCCTTTGTCCTCCACTTTCTCGTGGAGTTTGCTCAGATTCATGTCCATTGAGTCGGTGATGCTATCTAACCATCTCATCCTCTACTGCCCTCTTCTTTTGCTCTCAATCTTTCCCAGCATCAGGGTCTTTTCCAGTGAGTCAGCTCTTTCCATCAGGTGGCCCAAATGTTGGAGCTTCAGCTTCAGCATCAGTCCTTCCAATGAATATTCAGGGTTGATTTCCTTTAGGATTAACTGGTTTGATCTCCTTGCAGTTTAAGGGACTCTCACGAGTCTTCTGCAGGACCATAGCACAAAAGCATCAATTCTTTAGTTCTCAGCCTTTTTTATGGTCCAGCTCTCACATCCGTACATAACTACTGAAAAAAACCATAGCTTTGTCTATATGGACCTGCTAGTCATTGGTCCCAGCTTAACTGCTTCATCTGAGGCATTGGGCAAGTCTCTTAGCTCCTTTGGGTCTAATTACTCGTCTATAAACTTAATAACCTAAATAAGATACTTCTAAGGTACACTTTTCTCAAATTCTGTCATTTTAAGATGAATTTAACTTTACACAAGTTGGTTTTCAGGTAATGACTGAATGCCTACTGGGAAATAGCTGGCAAAATATTTGAGCCTAGAATAGGCCTTAAGGATTCAAATTGTTTTCATAGTCCAGAATGACTCCCTCCCAGCCTTTAATTAAATAAGTCAACAATGACAGATCCATAAGGTAGCCCATCCCATTTTTGGTCAGCTGCATATAGTTGTTGGTATATGCTTTCTTGAATTAGCCTCCTTAGAGTTAGTACCAATGGATAAACACTCCATCTGGATCATACAGAATTAAGTTTGTGTTCCCTTCTAAATACTACTGCAATGTTACATTCTTCTGAATCTTAAAAGTGTTTGAAATGTTAGTATTATTTCACTCAAAAAGAATTTTGAGTATGTGCTTTATCCCAGGCACTTACTAAGTTCTGGGTATACAGTCCCTCCTCTTGCTGCTTACAGTTTAGTCTTTCTTTAGTTATTCATATGCAATTGTCTTCAGTCCTTCTCTATGTAATATGATTTCTGGATCCCTCAGTAAGCAAGCTGCCTTCTGAAATTAGATGGAGAACTGAAACAGGACGAAGTTAGAGCTGACGATGTAGATCTAGTATTAGATGTAAAGTTGTCCTCGTAGATGAGACCTCAGAAGAATGAAGAGCAGGGAACCAAAGACTGAACATTTTTGGAGGTGGGAATCCAAAGGGGACATGGAAGAAAATAAAGGAGTAGCTTGTCGAGATAAGAGGAGAATTTGGAAATTTTAGTGTTACTGGAATCAAGCGAGAAAAGAATTTTGGAAAGAATAAGTGTCTGCCACATTTATTGCTGCAGAGAATCAGAGGAGCCAGGAGATGAGAGAGCGTATTAAAAATAACTAGTGGCCTCATCTCATTTTTTTTGCATGTTTACATGTGTTGTATTATAGAATGCAATTTTAAAATATGATTTTGTAATTAAATATATTTTGACATGTCAAATTTTGAAATTTTACAAGAATATTAAAATTATGCACAAAAGTTAAATTTTCGTTTTTCAAAAAACTTTTATTGTGAACTGGTCAGATTAATGTATTTATTCTTAATTCCTTCCTCCCATCTTAAATGCTTGTATTAGTTTGATTATTTTAAATTAAAACTTGCTGTGCATTTTTTATTACATAATTGTATTCGTGATTTACCCCTTTAATTGGACTGAGCATATTTTAGTGTAATTTCTAAAACAATCTTTATTAGAAATGTCACTTACCTCTAGTGTTAGTCCTAATAAAATTCATTCCTGTATACTTAGAAGGGTCTTAGAGGAGGGGTGTGTACCTGTGTTTAAGCTTTTACAATTGAAACTTTTTAGCCATATTTATATAGATTCATTGTAATACAGCTTACTTTACTATCTCTTTCTGTCTCATATAAGTGACCTGAGATCATCCAGAGCACGACTGCTTGAATTGTTCACTGATTTGAGCTGTAATCCAGAAATGATGAAAAATGCAGCAGATTCGTATTTTTCACTTTTACAAGGTTAGTTTATTCAAATGAACTTCTAAGTTTTTAAAAATCAGCTATTGAGAAGTCCAAATTTAAGTAGTCTTCTAGGCTATATTCTGTGGTATGCTTGAGTTTCAGAAATGTAAAAATGTAAGGGTGGTACTTGGTCTTTCTAACATTTTGAAAATTAAATGTGTGCATATTTCATATTATGTTACCTTAGGAGAAGGGGAGGGGGGGTTGGGGGTTTCATTCAGGTACCTGAAAAAGTCATCTGGAAAATGTTCTAAAGAGAATGCTCGATACTTATTGTAGAATTTAAAATGTTGTCTTCCTTTTTATAGGTTTCATTAATTCATTGGATGAATCTACCCAAGAAAGCAAGTTACGATACATTCAAAATTTCAAGTGGACTGATACATTACAGGGACAGGTTCCAAGGTGAGCAGCACCAAGGATACTAAATTGAAACCATTTTTGTAACTATTTAGATAGTGGTTTAACTCATAGCTTTGGTATTAAAGAAATAAAATATAAATCTGGTCAGCATTTTCCTTTATCAGGAAGTTAATGAAAAAATGTTGACCTAAACTTCTAATACAGTCTATTAAGTAAAAGCAAAATTTGTTTCTCCTGGACCACATCTATTTTTGAGATAATCAATGTAAATGTTAACCAGAATTGAGAAGCCTTGCTTTTTTTTTTAAACACCAAAAATGTTTTGTATTGGGGCATAGCCAATTAACAGTGTTAATGGTAGTAACAATGGTAATGATAATTTCAGTGAACAGCAAAGTGACTTAGCCATATATTATACATGTATCCTTTCTCCCTCAAACCCCCTCCCCAGAGTTCCATGTGCTATATAGTAGGTCTTTGTTGGTTATCCATTTTAACAGCCTTGACTTTTAATAATACACAAAGACTGGTTTGGGAATTTGAAATCCAAATTCCCAAAATTGGTCCTTGCTTCCATTCAAGCAGAGCTGAGTTTTAGTTTCTCCACTACTTTTCTTTTCTGATGGAGAGTTCAGAGGTCTTCGGTCACTCTACTTTCTTCTTTTTCCCTAGTTCCACCCCAGCTCCATACTTTTTTGACTCACAGTACTGTGTTTATTTTTCCTAACTTCAGTGTTTCTGCTCTTTTTAAAAACTTCCCCTCAAAACTTTATCAGTCACCTGAGACTAGTTCGATTGTAACAGGAAGCAGATCATAATAGTGATGAATTTTTAACTACCTTTTTTTTCAAAAACACCATTGGGTTCTGGGTTTTTTTCCAAAAAGTTTTTGTTTTGTGTTGGGGTGTAGCCATTAACAGTGGTGTGATGGTTCCAGGTGAACAGTGAAGGGACTCGGCCAAACATGTGCATGTGTCCGTTCTTTCCCCAAACTCACCACTGGTTTCTTTAAATGGTCATATATCTGTGTCTCAATTTGCTTTAGAATTACCATTTTATAAAATCAGAAGGGAAGAAAATGGGGATTGCTGAATAGCCAGGGCAGGCATTACAGTGGAAAGAGTGGAATTTGGATTCACACACATGGAGATGCAACCTCGGAGCTTCTCTTATGTGAATATTTGCTTCCTCAGCTATATGTTGGGGTTATAGGTAAAGGGCTTCTGTGAGCAGCAAAATAGGAAATCTTATGTTAAGGGACTAATGTAATGTCAGACATTGAATAGACATTTAATAAATGTTAGTTTCCTTTGTTCCTTTGGAATATTGTATGTGGAATTCATAAACTGGGTAGGAAGTTAGGGACCATGAATCCCTTCCAGATTTTAATCTGGGATACCAAGGTTTTCTGAGAAAGTTCTCATTTTCTGTTTTTCTTTATGTACTCCTTTGTACTTCATCTAAACTTGAAGGAATATTTTTCTTAAAAACTTTTTTCTTTAAAAGAATCAAAGCTCTATCATTAAATTACAAAACTTTGGCAGATTCTAAAGTGTTTCCCATTGCATAAATTTGACACTTTTTCCTACTGTGCTAAATTTTTATTCCTTCTAACAACATTTCTCAGCATAGTTTTATGAGACAGTGAGGAATTAATTATATGATAAAGATCTTAAGTTATAATGTTGACTATTCAGTACATCTGAGATTTTTAAGTTATTTTATCCTTGATTGCTGCTTATTCAATGGAAAGTGTGCTGTGAGTGTATCTGTTCTGAAAAATATCTTTATCAAGTATACACACACTTAACTACTACCTAGATGTGGTACAGTAGAGAGTGTTTGGGAGCAAGGCAGATTGAAAGAAACAAGGGATGGGCAAGAGAAAGCTCTTCGTGACGCTTTAATATAAATTAACAAAACTATCCTATTATTAAAGGTAAAGTTATAAATTTGGTATGCCTCCTAGGTCACCATTGCTGGAATTACTAGATGTAGTTACAAGACATAATTCATTGGAAAGGTCTCAGTGCTGAAAAATGTAAGCTCTTAAACTATGTATTGCATTTTTTTTGGCATGAGAAACTATTTTAAGGAGTTTGTTCATAACTGTCATATTTTGATGTTACATCAAACAGGATCACTTATAAGTCATTTTTGAATTATATGTTTTGTAACAAATCTTTTTTTTAAATCTAAAAAGTTTCCACGTCTCTGTTCATTTTAAGATGGAGACAACAATTAAATAAAACATAGAAAGCAGAGTCACAATTCTAGTTTCTTCCCTTTGGATAATTTTTCTGTATTTTTAGTATTGTGTGTGTATGTAAGGGTACTACTTCTGGTTATATAAAGGTATTCTGGTTTTTTACTTTATCATTTGAGAGAAATGCAGTAATGTATGAAGAATTTTCAGGATCTTAACAGTAGTGAATAAAAATATTAAGTACTATCTTCTTTGTTTCATAAGCTTTTTACCGTCTTTGTGTTGTGTTTAGTGATAGAATCTGAAGGAAACAAGATGTAAAATATGCTTATCTTTAAGACCTTTTTTTTCCTAATATACTGATTGACTTAGCATTCAGAATCTTCTGCAGGTTCACATCCTGGCTTTTCGTTCTCTTGTTCCTGTACTTCTCTTTATAAATTGGCAACTTCAGTCAAGCTAGTTAGGTCATTTCACTGCTATCAGAAAAATCTTTATCCTTTCTTTTGCTTTAACAGTGTCATTCTTCATCTGGGATGTCTTTCTGCTTCCCTTCTAGCCATCTTTCAAGGCACAGTTCAAATTCTGTTTATACCAGTAAGCCTTCAGTCATTCTAGCCTGTGATCTTTCCTCTGAAATCTGTTTTCTTAAAATATGGTAGTTGCTCCAGAAGCAACAAGATACTTGTTAAAAATGCAAATTCTGCACACTTCCTAGACTTTTTGTGTGTGTGAGATAAGTTCCAGAAATCTGTTTTTAAAGCTATTCAGTGTACAGTAACCTTTTGGGAACTGCTGTTCTCATGTTTACTGTTACGAAGTATACACTGGACCTTCATGGTCAGTCATTTCTTGAATTTTTATTTTCAATGGAGGATAGTTCATTTACAGTATTTTCTTGCTTTCTGCTGTACAACACTGTGAATCCCCCATAAGTATACACATATCCCTTCCCTCTTGAGCTTCTCTCTCACCACCCTCCATAGTCGTTTATTGCTAATTATATGTGTGCTTGTGTCTCATCTCCCCACCAATATTCAATACAAGGACTCTCTTCATTTTTTCAGTCTGTATTTAGCTCTATGATTTTGGGTAAGATTTATAGCAGGCTTCATATAGAGATGTCTCAATCATGAACAGTACTTAATGATCATGTTTATAATTCTAGTGCCCAGCAGGATGCTGTTTTTGAATTAATTTCCATGGGATTTAATGTTGCTTTATGGTATACCAAATATGCTTCAAGACTGGCTGGAAAAGAAAAGTAAGTTAAAAGGAGAGGGTTATATGCATATGTACTATTTTTCAAATATTTCAGGCCTCTGATTAAAAAGCCTACTGATTAAAGTACCACTTCTGAAAAATGTAAAGTTGCCTCATAATGGTATTTTTAAGTACCAGAATCACAGAGCCCGCTGTTAAAAGCAAAAACAGTTTTAATAATCTTGTCATGGGGATGGTCTTTCTAACTAAAACCTCAAACTATGAAAAGAGAAAGACCACATAAAAGTACCATAAACAAAGTTTAAAAACAAATGACAGATTGGGCCTAAGAAATTGTAGTGCATCTGACAAATTGTTTTCATAATCTGTGCTGTTACAAATCAACAGGGAAAAGACCAACAAATCAACTGAAAATAAGCAAAGGACATAAACAGGCAATTCACCAAAAAAGACAAAGGCTTATAAGTATGTGAAAGATGTTTTGAAGGATTAAGGGATTGTGAAATAAAATGAGACACAATTTTTACAATAGTGCAGGTGGATGTTAGCAATAGGAAACTGGTAACTACTAACTGTGGTACACCTGCACGTGGGAATAATAGTATGCAGCCATTTAAAAATGGAGTTGAATTGTATGTGCTGATGTAAAATAGTGTCTGAAGTAATTTAGGTGATTAAAACAAGAGGAGAGTGAATACTGTGTATGTATGTGTTTTTCAGGTATGTGCATGCTTTACATGTGTACTGATTTATGCTTGTTTATGTATGAAAGATTATCTGGAAGGAAAAGCAAGAAGCCTTTGTCCAGACCCCTAGACAGGAGCTCTTTTTCACTTGTCATCTCTTCTGTTTGGATATTTTTCATGTGCATTTGTTAGTTTTCTAAGTGTTAAATCAGATTTTTTAAAAGGAAGAAAACATAGTGAAAAACACAAATGATTGACTTTTGTAGTTTTATGAGAATATACTAGTTGCTGGTTTTAATACCAGAAGCAGGATTCATCCTGTAGCTAATGTCACCTCTCTCCTTCAGCATAACAGAGGATGAAGCAAAAGAAGTCCATCGAAGCTTAAAGATTGCAGCTGGGATTTTTAAACATTTAAAGGTAACATAATAAAATATATTCTTAATACTTTAATTATTGAAATAATTTTTATTTCCTTCTTGGGGTGAAAGAATTATTTAGTCATGTAAAAAGAGCTAGTATGTGTTCTGTTTTCCTTACGTTAAGTACCTTGTTGATGAGTGCAGCCAATTAACAGAATATTGTCTCCACTTCAGAAAATCATCTGTAACTTTTACAATTAGATGACGCAGATGGTACTTCACTGCTTGTTTTTCTGTCTCTTCTGAAAAGATAGGAGAAAGCAAAACACAAAATCTGATAGTTGTCAGCATTTCTCCTTGCTGTCTGCTGCACTTGCCAGGAGTATTCATGATTCTGCAAAATGGAATTTTCTGAGTATATTATCTGTATCAGAGTGAAAATGCTAGCAGGTCAGTCAGTACACACTAATTATATTAAATTTCCTGGAGATGTGATGGGAATAGGGAAAAGACTAAAATGTTTTCCAACCCGAATTACCCCCACCTCATTCCAATTAAACCAATATTTACTGAAGCCTCCTGGAAGCCAGTGTTGCACTTTCTTATGATGAGATAGTTTTATGGTGATGGAAAAAGCTGTGATCCTGAGTGTGCTACAGAATTGAGCCTCTTTGTATCTACTAGTAGTAATGTGAATGAACAGTTCTGGCTCTCATGCAAAAGGGAACTAGGTTACCATGTCAGTGAAACATTTTCTAAATTGAGAATATGACTTGCATATCTAAGCAATTTATTATGACCCAGATTTTGCTCTTGAATTTCTTATCTTACAAAAGTTTATTTAAAAACTTTAAAAGATTTAGTGTATAGGAACTTCTATTCTCTGTAAGCTTCATATTGCTTCTTTTTACACAATTTTTATTTGTACCCTAAATTTCTGATAAATCCCCAAATCAGGTGTCTCATAACTTCCATTTTCTTTATCTCTAACAACTGAGTTAAAATTTGGCTTCTTTGTTCTTTGTTTTTTTTTTCCTCAGGAAAGTCATATCCCAAAGCTCATTACACCTGCAGAAAAGGGCCGGGATTTAGAGGCACGACTCATAGAAGCTTACATCATCCAGTGTCAGGCTGAAGCTCAAGAAGGTATCCTAAATATTGTAAGATTTGTTTTGTTGTTGTTGTTGAAGAATTAGCATTTTACTCTTCCTTTTAAAAAATCAGTTAGCTGGAATTAAGTTTCAGAATTTGGGAAATTTATAGTGAGGGATGACTTTTACTTTTAGCATTTGCCTCCATTTCTTGTTAACAGGAAAGGAATTACAGTTTAATGCCTTAAGAGGATTCTGATTTCATGCATTTGTGGCAGCATAAAATTAAGTCTGTAACTCATCTTTGCCTCACCAACTTTTTTTTCTCTTCCACTGTTTGGCTTACCTTGAAATCTTCACTTTTGAATGGCAGGAAATAAAGAGTTACGTGAAAATAATGAGACTTCGTAGGCTTTTGTTGTTCTTTATTTCAAACTCTAGTGCCCTGAAAGTATTTGTTTCCTCTTACATCATGCAATTTTATAGTAGTGGTTTTCTGTGAGTAGTAAGTAGCTAGGGATTTATGTAAGGAAATGGTATCAGAACCAACAAACTCAGTGTTTTTGGTTTGTTTGCATTTGTATTTTCTGTAGCTTACTTTTCATGTTAAAACTTTTTAACAAAGAAGTTAAATGGATTAAAATCCTGATAGATAGGAGACTGTCTTTTCCTTTTATAATTGAACTTAAGGTGAATGCAAATGATCTTAATCATACAATACACTTCATTGTGTTTTGGCTCTAGTAACAATTGCTCGAGCAATTGAGCTGAAACATGCTCCTGGACTAATTGCTGCTCTGGCATATGAAACAGCCAATTTCTATCAGAAAGCTGGTAAGTTTACAGTTCTGTTTTTTAGTCTTTAGGTTTTCACAGTAAGCTGTTGGCTTAGTAGGCAACAAGCAAAACCAAAGGACTTTCAGATTGTTTCATCATTTGCAAAGCTGGAATAATACCTACATTATTTTATTATTTTATTACTCTTATTTAAAAGAAAATAAAAGAATTAACAGATGTTCACAGTTGATAGGCTCCATAACTTCTGATGAAAAGGACAGTGCTGTACTTTTTAACCAGTTATGTCTGATAGTTAAACAATTGTTTTTCTTTTGAAGTGTTTTTGATCTTTATAACAACTTTATATTACTGTCCTTATTTAGACAAGAACCTGAAATCCAGAGAATTAGCATAACTAATTTGTAATTTAACAGCTTGCAAGTGTGAGGCTGGGACTAGTACTCAGGTCTTCTCAACCTGGTTTTCTTTTCAGTCACTTATTTAGGAAACATGCATATTTTTCTGTTTATGGGATGGTTACTCTTTTGTTGCTGAGTGTACTGATTCACAGCCTGGGGAAGAAGAAAAACATAACCACATTATTTTAGCATAAAAAAAGTGTTGTCACAGGGGTGAAATAAAAACCTAAAGGATCTGGGTATGCTAGAGAAAGCTTTCTAAAGGAAGTTGGTGGTTTAGCCTGATTTTGAAATATAAATAGAAATTCTAGGTTTGCTTGGATGCCTCAGCTGATGGAAAGAGTAGAAAATTCTCTAGTATGTACAGAGATAAGAAAGAACTTAGTGCATTCTGGAACCTTTAGACAGATGCTCTTAGCTGAAACAGAATGAGTGGTAGGAAAGGGTAGGAAAGTATGCATGTGTGAGATTACAGATTGATTCGTAAACCTACGTAAGAAGTTTGGCCTTTGTTCAGTAGCTGTTTGGGACTCCTTAAAAGATAAAACTGATAAACTCCTTAAAAGAAGTAAAAGTGACTTGATTTGTGTTTGAATTTAAGAGCCCTATCATTGCCAGATGAAAAATGGGCCTGCTAGTGAAACAGTAGTAAGGCTGACCATAATCACTTCTTCCTAAGTACTATGGAAGAAATAATGAAAGCTTTGACAAAGACAGCAAAGCAGGAAATGGAGAGGAAGAAATAGATTTGAGAGGTGTCAGGCAGGAGATATGATCATGCGTGTTTATACAAGATGCAGCAGTGGGGTGGTGAATAAGGGTTAGGAGAGTATCCTTGTTTCTGACTTGGCTGTCTAAGACTACTCTTTGCATTGCTGTTTATATAAAATATTTAAAAGAGATACTCTAATAGTATTCATATTTCTCTTGAAGTTCTCAGTCATTTCTATTTTTATCATTATCTCCAACTTAAATTACATGAACCATCAAATCAAAGAGGTGCCCTGGTATTTAACCTGTCTTATTGTGTAGTTAAAATATAGTTATGGGAAAATAAATCACTGTAAATAAAGCAAAGTTTTTAAAATGTAAATGCTTGAGTTTTAGGTGTGAATGGCATTCTGCTTTTAGCATCTAAACACATGAACTAGAAGTCTCCTAGTGAATCAGGGTGAAATTATATTTTGCTTTTTAAAATGTAACTTTAGATCATGCTTTATCCAGTTTGGAGCCTGCATACTCTGCTAAATGGAGAAAATATCTTCACTTGAAAATGTGTTTCTACACAGCTTATGTAAGTATTTTTCACCCAAAACAATGTGAGCTACTGTCTCTTCAGCTCCTTGAGTGCCAATTCTGTCATTTCTCCAGGCTCTTCGTTAGCATTTTACAAATAATGGACAGCTCTCAGTAAATGTTCCCTGACAGTCAGTGCAGCCATTGTGGAGTAAAGTGGGTGGAAGGAGATGATGTAGAGCTGGGTTACAGCAGTGGAATTGCTGTTTGATTCAAACCCACTTAAGCTGCAACCTTCATAATAATTCTCTATAATTTTGTCCTGTTCATTGGGAAAGATATTTACTAATTATAATCTTAAGACTTAACCATGCAATATATCAACCTGGGTTGGTGAAGAATCATTAATAAAATTTCTTATAGCTTATAATCTGCTTTGTACACATTGCTTAGCACCAGGTGCAATCCCTGGTTTGATGTAGACATTTGAAGAGTAAATGGCCTACTCCAGGCAGGTAACTTTTTCTTAAAACTTGGTTAGGCCTTAATCTCAAAGTCCTCATTCCCTCTCCCCTCTGCATTAGCAGGGTAATTTCCCTCCTTTATTCACTCGGCCCTGTTTTTTTTTTTTTTTGGCTGCGCCAAGTGGCTTGTGGGATCCTAGTCCCCTGACCAGGGATTGAACCCATGCCTCCTTCATTGGAACAGCAGAGTCTTAATCACTGGATCACCAGGGAAGTCCTGCTCTGCCTTAATTTTAAAAACAGGTTTCAGCAAATACTGTTTGCTCTCAGTCCATGGTTAGATGACTAGATTGGCTCAAGGCTTGATGTAATTCCACTTTTTATACCAACAGAGATGAGGGTTAGCTTATTCAAGGAAAGAAGTGTAAGGGATTGTATTGATTCTTCCAACAATGGACAAAAGCATTTCTTTATCTGATGCATATAGAAAACAGTGACAGTGGAAAGCATCATTTGAGGAGAGAATGAATAAAAATTTATGGTTGTTTTTTTTTTTATCAGGCTTATTGTTATCATGGTCAGACTTTGTTGGCTAGTGATAAATGTGGTGAAGCAATCAGGTCGCTCCAAGAAGCAGAAAAATGTAAGTATCCCACCATAATATTAACTCCCCTTTTAAAAACTAATGTTTTATCAGAAAGAGGAATAGGCAGTTAAAAGATTTTGGCTGAGATGATGAAAGGGAATGAGATTAAGTGAAGTATTGAAGAAAAGAAAGAAGTGCTTCAAAAACCTCAAACTTCTAGAACATACCTACCTATCACTTAACACTATTGTTGGTACTGCTCTTATATTAGTTAAAGAGCATCTCTGATGAATAGCATTTTTAGTATAAATAATAATTGATTATAATCAAATAACTTTATATCCATTCACATTCAGTTTATGCAAAGGCAGAAGCATTATGCAAAGAATATGGAGAAACCAAAGGACCTGGACCAACAGTCAAACCTTCGGGACACTTGTTCTTTAGGAAACTTGGAAATCTTGTGAAGAACACTCTAGAAAAATGTCAGCGAGAAAATGGATTTATGTGAGTACAACTTAGTATATGATTTTAGTAATATTGACAATGGTATAGTGTATACAGTCAGCCCTCTGTACTCTGTGGGTTCCACATCTGTGAGTCCACCAACCACTGATGGGAAATATTCAGGGGAAAACAATTCTAGAGAGTCCTCAAAAACAAAACTGCAGTTTGCTGCAGGCCAGCCACTATTCACATAATATTTACCTGAGTTTGATCCCTGGGTTGGGAAGATCCCCTGGAGAAAAGAAAGGCTACCCACTCCAGTATTCTGGCCTAGAGAATTCCATATAGTCCATGGGGTTGCAAAGAGTCCGACATGACTGAATGACTTTCACTTTACGTTCTAATAGATATTATAAGAATGTAATAACCTAGTAAGTATCTCAACCTGGAGATCATTTGAAGTTTACAGGAGGATGTGTAGGTTATATGCAAATACTACTTCATTGCATATAAGGAACCTGAGCATCTGTGGATTTCAGTATCTGATGAGGATCCTGGAACCAATCCACCACAAGATACCAAGGATGACTATATTTATAATGTTTAAATAGTAATATTGTTTTAATAATAGCAATTTGTTACCTCTATTCCTATATGTATCACATCAAGTTGCATTTAAGTTGGGCATTAATTTTCCATTTAAATTGTTGATAGAATTCACTTATGTTGGACCTAACTTTATTTTGCTTCTCATAATGACCTATTAAAGCAAATTTTAAAATGCACATGAATTATTAACTTCAGCCCACTTCTACTGTCATAACTTTCTCTTACCTTTGTTTCTCTGCCATCCCTTCTCTATCTGTTACACACATATGAATACTTATCTTCTGTTGATATATTCATCTTCTTCTAGTTTTGGTCATGTGTAAAGAAGGGAAATCAGTTTTCTATCTGTCCTATCTAGTTCTGTCAGGCAGTTTTCTGTTATTAAATCAGTGCTGTTCAGGCTGTAGATGAGCACCTGTGTAAGCTGGTAGGATGAATTTTGTCCCTGCTTTTGTCTCTTGCATTCTTCCCTTAATATTCTAGTTCTGGTCATGTTGTGCTCTTTCACTTCCTTGAACATGCCCAGTTTGACTTTCATCACTTCAGAAAGCATCCATGACCCCCCAAATATGGGTTAATTGCCCCTCTTTTGTGTTTTCACAGCGCTCTACATCCCTCATAGCTTCAATTACATTGCTCTGTAGCTGATAGTGTCTCTTGACTTCGTCACCTACTGATCTCTAAGCTCTGTGAGACAAGAAATTCTTTTCTATGTTAATCTATGTTATTTTCTTGCATAGGCTCTTGGACACAGGTAGACACTCAAATAGTTAAATGAATGAATGAATGAATTGCTATTTATATTTCTTTTGCAGTTACTTTCAAAAAGTTCCAACAGAAGCCCCACAACTGGAACTCAAAGCAAATTATGGTCTTGTAGAACCTGTACCTTTCGAATTTCCTCCTCCAAGTGCACACTGGACACCAGAAACGTTGGCTGCTTTTGATCTCACCAAAAGACCCAAGGATGACAGTGTATGAGATGGATTGTTTCCATTCATTGACAAAATTTTAAGAGAATTCAGACTTCACAGTTTGATGTTGTTCTCTAAATAGATACGTTTGTCTAAATGTTACGTTAGCTAATTACAGTGCTTTGTGTAAAATCTATTGTAGAACTCTCTCAGAGATAGACCTCTAGGCCTCAGTTGTCTTCTGATTTCTTACATAGTTGACTGATATGTTTTCAACACATTATCTTGCCATTTTACAGTTTGTCAGAGCCTCTTTTAGGAGGAGTGTGGGAAGACAGGTCTTAAAAGGATGCCTCATCCAGTGTTTATAGTGCTATAGCAGTGTTGGTTTTGATTTAGCATAGTGCATGCTATTTGAAGATTTGACCTTATTTCAACATTCTGTGAAATCATCCAGGGGCAAGATAAGACTGCTTTTATTCATTTATATCTAAGCATATCTTAGTGTCTAAATAAAATGGTAGATTGAGTGGAAATTTTGAGGTTTGGCTACCAAAAGATAAGAGGTCTGTGAAGAAAAGGGATAGGAATTACTTTGCAGACACAGCCCCTTCCTTGAAAAAAAAAATTTTTTTTAATTGCATTACTGTTTTTGACCACACTAGGTCTTTGTTGGGGTCCACGGACTTCTCTGGTTGTGGTAACCAGGGTCAGTAGTTAGAGCATGTGGGCTTAGTTGCCCTGAGGCCTGTAGAATCTTAGTTCCTTGACCAGGGATTGAACCTATGTCCCCCTGCGTTGGAAGGCAGATTCTTAACCACTGAGCCACCAGGGAAGTTCCTGGTTTTGTTTTTTATATATAATTTTCTACCCATACTAAAACCATTATTCCTAAAAATAGCAACTTTTTCATCCTGTTCAGCCTTGTAAAATAGTCCTAAGAGGTAGCCTGTTAGTGTCACAAGTAATCTTTGAACTTAAGAGTTCCACATTCATAGATTGATCACTCAGTTTCCGCCTCCTCAGGAAGACTAAGAATACTATTACCTTGATTTTTGCCTACCCATCCAGGTTTTCATCTTCAGTGAAAATGTTGTGTTCCTGTTTTGTCTAGTTGAATTGGTTGGTACGCAGCTTCTGGCACAGCTTTGGTAGTCTCAGTGATACATTTTAATATATCCCCTCTGTATTAGTGTGAAATAAAATAGACCTAGTGTTTGTTTTCCAGATCTTAGTTTATGTACTTATTTTTCTTTCTTCCTAGGCTAAACCCAAACCAGAAGAAGTGGTGAAACCTGTGAAAGAACCAGATATCAAACCTCAAAAGGACACTGGGTGCTACATCTCCTAAACTACATTGATCCAGTATGCACTTTGAATTTCTCTACCAGTAGATAAGATAAACCATGGAAGTTCATGTATCTTGCAATGATTTCTCTAAAGCCTATAGATTAATTTAGTACATTCAGAGGGAATCTTCCTTCAGTTTATTCTTGATTTCTAACACAGTAGAAATGTTTTCTGCTTTGTTTCCAAACTCCTTTTGAATCAGGACAACCTGTGAACAGTTTTTATTGCACCTCTAAAGGGCGTGCTTGGGGATTGGGTTTTTCCTCCAAACATCTGGGTAGTAGTTTCAGGTTAAACACTATAGGCCAGAATCATGTGGTTTCAGGTGTGTTTTTCTACCTTCACAAAGAAAAATTTATTTTCCTTCCTCTTATTTAATACCAGAAGAATGACGAGAGTCAGTTTTTAACAGATAGTTTTTTCCCCTCTCCATTATGTCAGCTGGTAGCACAGACTTGTTATATTCTGTGTCAGTTACCTTTTCTGGTGGGGAAAAAAATTACTTTCAGTTAAGGATCAAAAAATCTTCATACCAAGTCACTTACACACACACGTTGGAGTCTGTAACTTATTCATTAGTGTTTATAGGCATATTAAGACCATCCAAAAATGTAACTCCTCTGCTGGTAGCCCCGCACTTCATTTCAGCCTCAATAAACAAACCTACAATATTTTTTAAAGTAGTTTTTCTAATGGATTTTTTTTTACTTAGGGGACAGAACTTTGTAACAGCTCTTAGTGTTTCTATGTGAGAGGACAGTGAAATGTTTTTGTAGAAGTCATATACTGCATGATGAAAAGAAGGAACTTGAAACCTAAACAGGATAGGTTGTCCTGAATTATACTGGTAAATCTCTACTTCTTTGTTGCAGAAGTTAGAGTAATGCCTTTGTTACCTGATTTCTGTGTAAGTGATTTTTATATAGTTTTCTAATAACACTTACACTCAGAATTGTAATGCTTTAGGTCAAAGGCCATAGCAAAAACTTAGCCAACAGATAGAGTATATCGTAAAAAACAGCTTGTAATATTTGAAATAGTTTAGTATATACACAATCCTGGGAGATAGTGGATGTTTAATACTTCAACAAGAATCACCCCTGTAGATTGATCTTCCTTTGAGTTTCCTAGGGCGTTAGCTAATTTTTCTATTATAAATGACAGGTTGGTTCAAATAATAGAAACAGTAGTGTATGTTAAGAGCTTACTCCATGCTAGGCACTGTGCTGAGCACTTACATAGATAAACCTTTGAATCTACACAGCAATTCTGTGAGAAACAAGCAAAATCTGCACAAAGTATTGAGATAGGAATAAACATTACATTAGGAAGAATAAATACATTATGCCTATCTGAATCAGTATTGTTCAAATAAATGATTATTTAAATCATAGTTTATGTTCTTGGGGAAAAAAGCTATATAGAAGCTATATAGAATTATTTAACATACGGAAATGCTAATTACTCCTTGCTGTGTTACACTTAATATTTGAAGCTGCAGTTTCCAGAATAAGTGAAGTAATAACTGGGCAGACATTTAGTTTTGTTGTTTATAGAAAAAGACACTTTAATTTCACTATATTTTCTGTGCTTTTCTGCCATTTACTGACAAAACTTTAAACAGTACTTGATGCCAGCTTTATTACTCTTGGCCTAAGATCTATTTATTTTAGGAACTAGGGCTTATTTAGCCTAGTTACTAAATTTTCACATTGACATTTTTATGGGTCCTACTACTATATATGGAATGAAAACATGTAATAAATGCGAAGTGCTTCTGTAAAATGCAGTAAATACTGGTATTAACATTTAATCAATTGGCAACTTCAACATAAGCAGATAGTAAATATTCTGTTGACTCAGCAAATGTGACACTTTGTGACTAAACTATCCCATTTTTTATATATATATATATATATATATACACACTGTCCTTTGAAAATGGTGTTGGAAATTTGGTGAAGTTAACAAATGTAATGAAGTTGCATGAACGTCTTAGAGAGATGTAACTATTTGTGTTAACTGTTGCATACTTAGTTTAAACCAGATAATGACAACTAACATCCTGCTAAAGGTATTGTTAATACACTGAATTATCTTTTTATTTATGAAAATAAAAGTGATTTTACTTACAGTTTCATTGGAATTTTTTGTTTTTCAATAAATATTTTTCATGTTTTTTAAGCTGGTAACAAGGTTCATACAATATAAAATCGTAATTCTTTACAGTTACATTTTAAAATGACAGATGCATTTGTATCTGTTACTGTAGGCTACATGAATTCATTAAAATACTCAGTGCTCCTTGACCTCTCCGGTTTCTTCTTTGGCTTACTGTTACTTATCTTTTTATTTCAAAGTAAGGTTTCAATCAGCCTGCATATAGTCTTTTTCTTTTTTAATATTTATTTATTTATTTGGTTGCACTGAGTCTTAGTTGAGGCATGGAGGATCCTTGATCCTCATTGTGGCATGAGATATCTTTAGTTGCAGCATGTGAACTCTTAGTTGGGGCCTGTGGAGTCTAGTTCCCTGGCCGAGAATCAAACCCAGGCCCCCTGCATTTGGAGTGTGGAGTCTTAGCCACCAGACCACCAGGGAAGTCTTCATCCTACATGTATCTTATTCACGGTATAACCCAGCATTCTGCAGTCTTGTGTACTGTGGTGAGCTAAGCTAGGGATCTTATCACTATACAATATTCTGTGGAGAACTTTGTACTTTGGGAGCTTTGAGGTGGCATTTTCAGTACTATATAAGTGTACTCAAAATCATATTCAGAAGCATTGCCTTCTAGAGTAATTGTGGGTTAGAAAATAAGGCATTTTTTAATCAGTATGTGCATAAAAATAAAAGTGTCATTTGGTTTTATTTTGTATCTAAAGACTGAGTTACTTGCTTAGAATTTACATTTTTGTTTTAGGACAAACTTTTTGTCGTAACTATAGAGATTAAAATAGTTAATCTGGAGGGAGAGCCTACTGTGAACCATAGAAGAAAAAACCACATTGGACTGTGCTTATCCAAAAGGCCAGAGCTATCATGCAATTCAGTGTGTGTGACTGTGATGCGCTTGAGATGAGTCTCAGAGAAAATGTCGGATCACCCGTTGGCTCGATACTGTCTAAAGCATCTCTAGTCATTTGCTTTAAACTATTCCTCTCAGCTTTCTGGGGCTGGCTGGGCAAGGGCCTCAGGTGGCTGGAGCTCCCAGGCTGGTCGCCTTCGGAATTTTGGACAAATTTCCTAGATCATCTGCTGTGATGTAAGATAAGTTGACAAATACTCCAGTAGGACAGGTAACATACCCCAATAGCACAGGTATATCAGTAATGTCACTTACCCATGGTGTTTGAGTGTATATATAAGGTCTAGTACTGAAAAATAAATGGAAAAGTCCTGCCAGATGATGTTCTGTCAGCATTTCTCAAGGAGGAGCAGTGGTTTGTTCATACTGTTTGTTCATATTTCCTCAAAATATGCCTGCCTGCCTGGGTGAGTCATTGATTGGAGAGGGCCAGTGTCCTCAGGTGAAATGACACTAGAGAAGCTGGGAGTGAATACTGCCCTCTGCCCCCTGAAGTGGGGCTTCAACTGTCTTGTCCTTTCAAGGCTTGCTCTCCTGACCCCCTCAGGGAAAGAAGGGAAGGGAGCTGGGGTCACCGCAGGGCCCTGTGAACAGGGCTGATGCACTCTTGGTAGTTAACCCAATGCCAGTTCTCTGCTGCATTAACCAGATTCATTTGAAAACTTTTTTTTTTTTTTTTTGGATTAATGAAACTGAAAGAACTCTTGAATTTAGGGTATTATACCTTCCCAAAGTTAAATGTCAAGATGTAGAAGTATCGTGCTATTTTGTTGCTACAGCTGAGCATGCTGTGTTTCAGTGAAGGAGTTAATTGAAACATAATGAGTGTGTAAGTGTAATGAAAAATAAGGTAGCCATTTCAACATCAGGAAATAACTATAAAACTGCTCTCATTTTTCCAATCTCATGTAGAAGCTTCCCCCACCCATTAAAGTGAACTGACTGTATGACTCACGTATTAAGCAAATACTGAGCTCCACCTGTGTCAGGTACTGTAGGGAGCCGGAGATAAAGCCGGAGCACACAGGTAAAACCCCTTCCACCCTGGCTGGAAGGTTGGGCAGAGAAGGAAGGGGAGAGGGAGACAGAAAGGAGGTAAGTGAAGTACAGATTGTGTTAAATGTTGATACGTGATGAGACAAAACAGAATGAGGTAAGCTGTGGAGTGGGGGTGGTGAAGGAAGTGGGCAGGTGCTCTGGAATTCAGATAGGAACTCTGTCAGCTGACCTTTGAGTCAAAGATCTGAAGGAAGGGAGGGAACAAAGCCTCTGAGAAGAGGGACTGGTCCAGAGAACAGCTTGCACAAGGTCCCTGTGGTGGTCAGGGAATAGCAGTAAGAGGGCAACAGCTGGAATGAAGCAGGTCAGTGGAGAGAAAGTAGAGCAAAATGGGACCAGAAAAGTACTGGGGCCAAATCCACGTCTCTGAGGCCTTTGTAAGGACTTTGGCTTTTACTCTTGGTGAGCCAGGAACCCACTGGAGAGTTACAAGTTTAGAAGTGACACAGTGTGATTTTGTATTTAACACTCGGTTCTTGAGTATACAGAGTAGGAAGCCAATTAGGAGGCACTGCCAGTAATCCAGGTGAGAGATGATGGCTTAGACTGGGGTTGATGGTGTTAGGACCCTGGCAGTAGTCCAGAGAATTTCCTGATGGATTTAAGGTGAGGTGTGATTATAGGAGAAGAATCAGAATGCCTCCAATGTTTTAGGTCTGAGGATCTGGAAGAATAGAGTTGCCATTTGCTGAAATGGGAAGAATGCCAGAGGAGTAGATGGGAGTGTGTGAGTGGGGGCTGGGAGGAGGGGGGTGGTTTCAGGAAGGAGAAGGGTGCACTGAAAGTATGAGCAGATTTAAACATGAGGATGGAGGCGTCTGTTAGACCTCCAAGAAGAGATGGCAAGTAGACAGTGGGATCTATGCATCTGAGATTCAGGGAGATAAAAACGTTGGATATAAATGTGTGTGTAGATAGTATTTAAAGCCATAGGGCCGAATGAGGAGTAGATAAAAATCAGGATGAGCTAGTGGCTGAGTCCTGGGGTACTCCAATATTGAAAGATCAGGAATCCCAAAGGGTGTGTTAATTACATGATACTCTTGGGAGCAATCCTTGATAAACTAGATTTTGTTTTTTGTTTTTTTTTTAAGAAAAAACTAGAGGTTATCATAAGAATTAAAGTATATTGTAGGAAATATTTGATCCTCCAAAATATCACTTCCCAGGTGGAGCAGTGGTAAAGAATCTGCCTGCCAATGAAGATACACAGATTCTACCCCTGGGTCGGGAAGATACCCTGGAGAAGGAAATGATAACCCACTCCAGGATTCTTGCCTGGGAAATCCCATGGACAGAGGAGCCTGGTGGACTAAGTACAGTCCATGAGGTTGCAAAGAGTTGGACACAACTTAGCGACTAAACAGCAATATCACTTACAAAACATCTCAGTCTAGGTACTTGGTGTGAAGTTGGTGGTGCTCCCAAGATTTTGGTAAATAATCCACACTTCAATATTGAGCCCCCTCTACACGACACACACAGTGGTTACAAAGATGAATTTCGCATGGCATATACCGAAGTGTCCATTAGGTGGCAGAAAACTTCACTAAATAGACTATAAACTAGACCTCTCTCTCTCCCTCCCTCGTTCTCTCTCACCAA